GGCCATAAGTAGATAAGCAAAATCCACTTTTGGCCAGTTTACTTTTCTACCGATTCAACATGTTTCAGATAAATATATTTTATTTATTTTAGTGAAAATGTCAAAAGCACCGAAGAAAAACCATAAAAGCAGAGTAGAAAAGTTGAGTAAAGCGAAATTTCAGTACTCACCTACAAAAGTAAATCTTGCTTTAAATGCCATATCTGAGGGAATGGCTGTGGCCACAGCAAGTCGTAACTTTAATGTACCGAGACTACTTTGCGTAATAAAATATCCGGAAAGTCTCCAAGATATTCAAGGCACTGCGGATTCGATTCTCACTTGGGAAAAGAGACTGAAGACCGCCTAGTCGAATGGATATTAAAATGTGCCAAGATGGGATTTCCAATAGACAAAGACGGGCTCCTGACTTCAGTACAAAAACTTGTTCGAGAGGCAAATATTCAAACTCCTTTTGTCAATGGTCGTCTTGGCAAAAAATGGGACTGCAGCTTCCTTAATAGACACAAACAACTTTCTCAGAAGAAAGCCGAATACATTCACGGTGGTAGAGGCGTAGTAACTGAAGAGAAAATCCGTAAATGGTTCGACGAGATTCATACGATATCGATGCAACCAGTATATTAGAAAATCCGCAAAGGATCTTTAATATGGATGAAACATGTTTCGCTTTAGCACCAAAAAGTGGTATTATAATTGGACCGCGAGGAAAACACGTCTATGATGAACGAACCTCATCAGATAAAGAAAATGTTACTACGCTTTTCACAGCTGATGCAGAGGGAAAGTTTGCTCCTCCGGTTACTATTTTCAAATACGACCGGATTCCATCAGCTGTCTGTAAGGCAGCTCCTAAAGGTTGGGGGCTTGGGAAGAGTGAAAAAGGCTGGATGACTGCAGAATGTTTCTATGAGTACTTCTCTAACGTATTTGTCCCATACCTTAAAGAGTCTCAAATAGAGTTACCCGTTATCGTCTTTTTGGATGGACATAAATCTCATCTAACCCTTCATTTAAGTAAATTTTGCAGAGAAAATCAAATAATATTAATAGCATTGGTTCCGAACGCTACTCATATCCTCCTGTGTTTGCGGCTATAAAACGAAAGTGGAAAAATGTTGTTCGAAAATATAAAATAGAGAACAATGGCCAGGAGATTACTAAAGCACTTTTGCCCATGGCACTGTCTGAGTTGATAAACGATCCAAAAATGACATCAAATATAATATCGGGATTTAAAGCCACAGGTCTGTATCCTTTTTCAGCAAATGATGTGGACTACAGCAAAATTATTTTAAGAGATCCCGACATATTGGAAACCCGAGATATTGACCCTGAAGCTGCAGCTTTTCTTCAATATCTGGAATCAAAAATTGATGTGGTTCTCCTGGACCAATTTAAGACAACAAAAAGAAGAAACTACGAATGGGAAGGTAATATTGAAGATAAATCGTTGTATAATATTTGGTTTCAAATTACAAACGATGTAGAAAGTCTACCAAACTTGGCGAGAGAAGATCCTGAACCTGGTAACAATGCTCTTAAAAATGTATCGCCCAAGACGTCTATTGTAAATGATAATATGATAAATGCTGTGCTTCCCGAAAATTCAAATTCTGACCATTTAGGCGATCAAGTTCCAACCACATCGGATGATAGCAACATTGGGATGGCTGGCACATCTCGTCCAGATGTAAAACAAGTCACTGACCACTTTAGATAGATAGATAGATAGATAGATAGATACTTTATTGTTTTAAAATATAAAATTTTATAAACAAAGTCTAAGTTCTTATAGTACTAATAGGTATTTACACAATTTAAAATTAAAATAAGAATATAAAATTAGGTATTTACACAATTTAAAATTAAAATATAAAAATGTAATTAAAATAAAATAAAATTGGTAAATATTACAGTACACATAAAATTTTAGTTAAAATTATCATTATTAAATTCTTCAATAGAATAATAAGTTTTTTTTAGCATAATTTTTTTCACACTTCCATAGAATACTTTATAATTTGTAATTTTTCTTATTGCCAAGGGTAAATGATTAAACATTTTTCTTCCGTTGTATATAATAGAGTTCCTTATTAATGCGGATGATGGGATCGGTAGATAAAGGTAGTACGATTGCCTTGTATTGTATGTTGAAGTTATAATTATTTCTTCCTTAAACTTTTTATGAATAAGAGCTACCGTCTCTAATATAAACAGGCTGGCTACTGTTAAAATTTTATATTTATAAAATAAGGGTTTACAAGAAGCATAATTATTAAGTTTACACATGTACCTCAGGGCCCGCTTTTGCATAATAAAGACTCTATTAAATAGCTCGTCAGAACATGCACCCCAGAAACAAATGCCATACCTCAAATGGGATTCTATCAGCGCAAAATATACGTTTCTTGCAGCCTGCAAACTTAAACTGTAGGTCACTGATCGTACTGCAAAACAACCCGACGCTAACTTTTTACATAATAAATTTATGTGACTTTCAAATTTTAGTCTATAATCAATAGTTAATCCTAAAAATTTATTTTCATTTGTAACGTTAATAATTTCGGCTCCCATTGAAATATTTTCCATTTCACATTTAAAACAAACAATATTGGTTTTTGAAATATTAAATGTTAGATAATTAGCGTCACACCATTGTTTAATTAATTCAATGTCCCTGCTTATGATACGATGCAAGGTTTCATTATTGTTGCTGAGCCAAAGCACTGTCGAATCATCAGCAAAAATTGCAAATTGTCCCTGAATGTTAATAGTGACAATGTCATTAAAGTATATAAGGAAAAGTACTGGTCCCAGTACTGATCCCTGCGGAACTCCGCAGTAAATATGTTCTGACATTGAGGATTGATCATTTAAAGTTACCTTTTGAATTCTATTATTTAAGTAGGATTGAAACCATTTTAAAGCAATTCCTCGAAAACCATATTTTTCAAGCTTGTCTAGCAGTATTTTGTGATTCACACAATCAAAAGCCTTGGTTAAATCACAAAACACTGCTGCAGCCACCCGATCGTCATTAATTTCAAGATATAGTTTTTGCAGGAGAGAGAACATAGCATCTGTAGTGTTTTTTGCTGATTGAAAGCCAAACTGAGAATGGGAAAGTAACGAGTGCTTATTTAAAAAATCCAACATTCTTGACTTCACCAATTTTTCTATTACTTTCGCTAAGGTTGGTAGTAAAGATATGGGACGGTAATTTGCTGGATTATTATGGTCTCCCCCGACCAAGTTCCAACCACGTCGAATGATAGCAATATTGCGATGGCTGGCATATCTCGTTCAGATGTAGAACAAGTCAAACGAAATATTTTTTTTCCACAAAAACCTATCCCTTCTGCAGTATTTTACAATGTACTTCCTTATCCTCAACAAAAGAAAACGGACTCAAAGAGAAAGAGGAAAAAAGAATACATACCAAGTGTTGTCACATCTGATAAATGGGTGGAGTATCATGAAGTAAGTGAGAGAATTAAAAGTGAAAAGGAACAACAAAGGCAAGAAAGGAAGCAGGCTAGAGAGCAGAAAAAACAGATGAAGGTACAAAAAGAAGGCGGAAAACTCCAAAAAAAGACAACAAAACTTGAAAAACAAAACCTAGAACCGGGCTCTTCTTCAGAAGAACAGGAAGACTGGGAGGAAAGTTGTAGCAGTGGAGACGATATTGACTTTATGGAACCTGAACAAGAAAACATTGAAATGTTCGGTACCAATGATCTGCAATTAGGCGATTTTGTACTTGTAACATTTAAACTATTGGGTAAAAGATCGACGACAACGTATAGATATGTTGCAAAAATTTTAAATATCTTTTCATCAAAAGAGTATGAGATACAATCTTTTAAAAGTGCTAATGAAGAGAAGACTGTGTTTTATCCTATAGAAAACGACGTTAGCAGCATAGATAAAGGCGACATTTTAGCAAAACTACCCGAGTCTGTTGTCCAGGAACAAGGCAGAAAGCGTAAAACAATTTTTTCAGGACAAGTAGACATTTACGAACAGACATGAATGCCATTTATAAAGTATTTTAATGTGTATTACTTATTTTTGTTACCAGAAAGTTATTTTGATTTACTTAGAATTATGTAGTTCAATAAATATTTAGTTATATAGCAATACCCAATCAAGTTGTATCTCGATTTTTAAACAATTTTTGGGTGGTCAAAAGTGGGGAAAATGTATGGCCAAATGTAGAAACAGATGGCCAAAAGCGGGGATTTTTGTAGTTAAAAATAGAAACCGTTATAATATTTTTCATTTTACATTGAATCTTTAATATCAGTTGATCTCCTAATAGAGCAGATTCGAAAGCACAAAAGGCGTTGATCGAAAAGATTTTCTTCGAATCCTACACTTTTCCCAATAGAAAAATAATTTAAAAGTTCTTAAAGTGGCCATAAGTGGTGCCGCTACCCTAACTACAAAATAACAATAAATCCAGTTCGCATTTATGACGATGTATCTCTGTAGTTGTTCGTAAAATAATTTTTTGCTGCGAACGGGTTTATTTTGGGTAAAAAATTCAAGAGACATTTTTTGTTTAGAATGAAACAGGCTATCGGAAATAAAATTTTAAATGGTAAACAAATAATAAGACAAAAATTTTAGGAGTTGCGTTTTCCACCCCTTACAACCATGGGGTAAACCAAATAAATTACTGGCTAAGTGTCTTTTTGGTAGTAGAAAATGACAGGTTAATTTCAATATTGTAACTTGTTTAGTACTTGTGAAAAAAATTGTTAAACAAATTTTATGTATCTCCTTTAAGGGGCTGTATCTTAACAAGGGATGCTCCAATGAAGTTTATATAAAAGATGATATCTTTTTTTCGATGAGGAATCACCCCCTTAAATGTTTTACACTTATTTAGTTACACCCTGTATTGTCAAATAACCTTAGATTCTAGCTGCCAGAAACCTATGGCACACCCGGTATTATCGTAGCAGTGTAGAATGTTTTTCGATATGTTTCAGGTCCGGCTGCATACATAAACCACGACTGCCGAGCCAACTGCAAATTCGTCGCGACGGGTCGCGACACGGCGTGCGTGAAAGTGCTGCGCGACATCGATGCCGGCGAAGAAATCACCTGCTTCTACGGCGAGGATTTCTTCGGCGACAAAAATTGCTATTGCGAGTGCGAGACATGCGAGCGTCGCAACACGGGCGCGTACGCCAAAGAGACCGACCAACAGGAGGAAAACGGTTACAAGTTGCGCGAAACGGACAACCGAATCAACAGGACTAAAGTAAAATTACAGGGTAGCAAATTAGTGAACGACTGCCACGAACGGTTCCACGAGAACGGTAAAATAATCAGCCCGTTGAGCATGAAGGAGCTCCGCCGAAAAGGCCTAACTAAATACGACGCGGAGCTGCTGATCGCCCAAGGGTGCAAGTTTACGGATTTAGCCGATTTCGGCCGTAAGCGCGTTAGCTTAAGTGTAAATAAACCAGATGTTAAAAAAATTAGTCGAAGTAAAAAGTCTGTGATAACCGATGAGGGTGGTAATTCGACTGTGAGCACGAGGGCTTCGCGGATGCAGCGGCGCCAGGCCAGACAGGCCAATTTGGAGCTGATGCAGAGCTCCACCAGGACGATTTCCAGGTCGAATTTGCTGGACGATCTGCAAAGCAACGCCAGCAGTTGTCCCAGCACGTTCAGCGATACAGAACCGGCGTGTGACGCCTCTACGCAACAGGATAAATTCAGCGATAGCCACGAGAGCGGCAATGGGATTACTACGTTAGGTAAATTAATAAATAATTTAATGATTCGGCCAGTATAGAATAAGATCCCACAGCGATGAGACATAACTTATTTTCTCAAAGATGAAACCTTAAGTTCTTAGTAGCGTCTCATGTGCTTTGAATACCTGCGTGCTTGTGAAGCTTGCCCTGTGACACCTGGGCAGGTACAAGGTGTGAAAGGTAACTAAAAATAAAAGTTACTTAACTTAAATTTGTATGGCTGATTTTTAGATATATTTTATAGAATATTATTCTCAAGTAGTATCGCAAGTGTCAGACACTTTCCATGGACCAAAACTTTTGTCAGACGCGTTAAAGTTCCACAAAAAATAAATGAACTACTTATTTTTAAATGTCTGATTTTTAAATTTGGTATCAAGATAATGTGGGATCTTTATATGTGGTATATCCCATCAATAAATAAATACGAATTCATGAAAATATATTTTTAAAATAAATTGTATGTCATGACATGTATATAAAATTGTAAATTCTAAAGTCATAAAAATTATAAACAATATTTTTGTTTCCCTCGCGATGAGTTTAACCTTTTGTCTTCGCTAGAACTGCCACGAAAGGTTATCTAAATGATGACGGCAATTTAATGTGTATGACGTAATGAAAATGAAAATGAAAAAGATATGTAGTGCAAGTATGTCGCTACATAAAATTCTAAAGTCATAAAAATTATAAACAATATTTTTGTTTCCCTCGCGATGAGTTTAACCTTTTGTCTTCGCTAGAACTGCCACGAAAGGTTATCTAAATGATGACGGCAATTTAATGTGTATGACGTAATGAAAATGAAAAAGATATGTAGTGCAAGTATGTCGCTACAGATAACTATTACAAAATTATATTTAATCAGTCGGACAAATTGTAGTGACCAAAAATCTCCTAAACACAAAAATTGTTCGGCCATGAGTACGAGCGCGAGAGCATTATGCGCATGCATTTCAGAGCAAAGAATTTAAATATTTAAAAAAGTACTTACCTACTTCTTTCGATTAAATATTTTTTGCATCTCTATTTAAATAAAATGAATTTCAACATTAAGGTAATAATGAATAATTATTAAAGTAAATTAATTTATTGCATATATTCGGTAAATTAATTTTTTTTCGGAGTAATTGTGTTTATAAAAAATTATTTTAACTGTTTTGACATTTTTAAGAAAAAATAATTTTAGTAAAAAAAAATGTATCTATGGTTAGTAAGGGAAAGTATTTGATTGTCCTTAATCATCGTGATCATCATCAAAATAATCATTAGAATTTTCTTCATTGAGCCAGTTATATTGTTCATTCGAGTCATCATCCTCATCGTCATCAGTTATGTTGTCTTTGCTGTCAGCTTCTTCTGTAAAAAACAAATAAAAGAATTACAAAATATAAAATTGTGAACCTGAAGTCAAAGTACAGTACTTGGATCTTGAAGTGATTCACTAACGTCTTCTGGTAATTGGTCACCATCAAACCAATGAAAGTGATACTGTTTTTTTTCTAACGTCCACCCATTGTTTTCAGGAGTAAAGATGGTTGGTTGTTTTTTATTTGCATTATTCCATATGCTAGCAATGTAATTAGCTCGGAGAAATTGTTGAAATAACTCAGTTTTGAATGGTAGTAAATTGCTAGCATCAATTTTTTTTAAATATTTTGGATTGAATTCTTCGTTTATATCAGAAACGGTGTAATTATTTAAAAACAGCTGAAGTCGGGCAGCATTAACGTCAAGTACGCTAGGAACATTATAAATTTCGCAGATAAATTTTTGTACTTTGTTAAAAATACCTTGTTGTATATGCGCGTCGGTAAACGACTCTGGCCTTCCAAATTACATAAAAGCTAGCTGATATTCTTGCTTCTTCATCAATATATTAAAAGGTCTTTGTTTACCTTTTTTAAGAAAGGAGGGATTAAAGTCAATGCATGAAATCCTGGTAAACTTCTACACAAAGATGGGTTTAAATACTCGTAATTTTTTTTTAATAATGTATCTTATTTCACAGACCCAAACTATACTGTATACTATATGTTGCGCGCACATACACAGTAGACTGAAACAGATTGTGAGTTTAAGAAGGAGAACCAAGTTACTATGGACATCTCACTCGCTCTGAAACGCATACATAGTGCTCTCGCGCTCATACTCACGACCGAATAATTTTTGTGTTATGGGGATTTTTGATCATTACAATTTGTCTGACTGATTAAATATAATTTTGTAATAGTTGTCTTGATAAAATGTTTAAAAATAAGTAAATTTCATTTATTTTTTGTGGAGCTTTAAAGCGTCTGACAAAAGTTTTGGTCCATGGAAAGTGTCTTGACACTTCCAATACTACTTGAGAATAATATTCTATAAAAAATATATCTAAAAATCAGCCATACAAATTTAAGTTAAGTAACTCTTATTTTTAGTTACCTTTCGCACCTGGTACCTGCCCAGGTGTCACAGGGCGAGCTTCACAAGCACGTAGGTATTCAAAGCACATAAGACGCTACTGATAATTTAAGGTTTCTTCTTTGAGAAAATAAGTTATGTCTTATCGCTCTGGGATCTTGGACTAGTACGTGTCACAAATATACATAATGATATGGAATCACCCAGTATATGAATTCCAATCAACGAAAAATCTCAAAATGGGACAAGTTCATAGCCTGAGGTATTTTTTAGTGAACGTTTGGTTTAAAATATTTTGAACCTTTTTAAACCATGACCAAAGCTAAAATCGTTGAATCAGTCAGAGGCATATGGTTTAATAACGGTTGACAGATGATATAGATATTCTGATTTTGGCTATTGCATGTTGTTTTGCTCTGTTCTATTTTTGAAAATTTTAATACATAACATTTTGTTGATTTTTATTGGAGTTTGATGAATTCATACAGATAGAGGTTATTCATATACCAGATCTGGACAAAAGTGCTTCAAACACCAAGCACTTTGGAAATTCTAAGTGCTTGCATTTACCGAGAAAAGTAATTGCACAATTAAATTACCAAGCCCCAATTACTCAAAAGTGCTTGAAATCATTGTTGAATACTTTAGGTGATTCCACGTACTTTTTTCTCAAATAAATTACCAAGCGCTTATTACATTACCATTTCCTTCCTAATTAAGAAACTGTTTATTTTAAAAATGAACAAAATTAAAAATTTAGATAGTAATAATAATCACACCAAATGTTTTTGTTCTTAATTTATTAGTCAATGGAAAAAAAAAATAAGCAGAAATAATCTGTAAGAAAGAGGAAGGTATTGGTACTGCAGTATGTACTATCAGTTAAACAGTTCTAAGAATCTTGAGCTGTAATATTAATTCCCGCCTGAGAACATGTAGAAGTTCCCCCGTATTTCTGTTTCCCAGGAATTACCGCTTTTCAACAATTGCGAGTACCCTCGTAGAATAAAATATTCTTATATTTGCCGAAATCCGAATGGGCATTTTTAGAGTCGATTTCGTATGGATTATCTACCTTTTATTTGTCAAGGACTATAAGGGCATTTTTTTTATTTTTAAATTGTAAACAGTCGGCTGTAGTAGTGGTATCCCCACTTTGTCGTACTGGTCTTCCATCTTGCTTTACCGAATAAGCATAAATTAAATCCCATCTGGGAATTACGCTCTCTTCTCGCTTGACAGCCGCCTTAAGCTCTTCTCTCGTGATTGCCGACAGCCGAAAACTATTCACCCTTAGTTAGTACCTAGTGCCGTGAGTACCGTGATTTAGTTCATCGATCAACCCCGTTTATTTTTCTAAAGGTAGGAAACCGCTTATTTTTTTATTTACAATTAGTTTGGGACACCCGTCCGACGAGTGAAATAATTTTGATTCATGCCCAGCATTTTTCATTTCATCTCTTAGTGGGAAACCGTTGGCAATTTTTTATTTGCGGTTGGACCTAGACTAGACACCGAGTGTTCTCTTTGTCAGCTACTATATCCAATTTCTTTTAAAAACCGCCCCGTTAACATCTAAGTGAGATATTCGACATGTTTTCGATTTTTTTTTTTTTTTTTTCGGAGGTTCGATCCATTTCTCGGGCTAGAGTGATCTCTCTCCTGATGACGTATCTAATTTCACCAAAAGAAGTTTTAAAAAATTTCCGCGCCTCACTTCGTGTAAAATTTCTTTTCTTTTATTTATTCATTCAATTGTATTTGAATCATTCCGTTCTCCGTGCACAACTAATTATTGAACGAAGCCGACGACTTCTGTAAAATTAAATTCACACACACGCTCTAGATAGGCGCTGGGTAAAATTCATAAATATTGTTTTCTACGATCGTAGTAGTCGAAAATTTCGTTTCCCATCGATTGGTTATTAAGATACAAGGGGACTCCGACAACTTTGATTTCATTTATTTGCTTGCATTTGATTACCGTCATATTTAAATTGTTTTCAAGTGTATTAATTTATTTTCATACATTTTTCGTATACTGGGCGTTTCACGATTCCCAGTCCGATTAGCCTCCTGAGCTAATAAACCATAAATATTTCCCTACGTTTAAATAATTTATTTTTCATACAATTTTCCGAATATAGGGATCCGTCAATATGTTTAAATAAATTTTCCAAATACGGGGTCCGTCAATATTTAAATACTTTCAATTTTAATAATTTATTTTTAAAGAATAGATTTTCCGAATGCAGGGAGCCGTTCAAATATAATTACAGTTGTATTTATTTTTTTTGTAAATATATATTTTAGTACCTATTCCTGTGTTTCTATTATTGCTGGTTCTTGACCGTTCTCTTTCAGGGTACCGTAGGGTACGAGGTAGAAAGAAGATAAGTGTTTAATTTTTATTTATTCTAGTATAGTGGATACCTAGCAGTGACCGCCTGGAATTATTTTTACCTCCACTGAGTTTACCTTGAGTACACTCTGGTGTACTTCAGGGTCGCAGAGCAAACTGCGATACCAAAACTGGCGCCTGAGCAACCCCTATTCGGGAATCACCTTCATAGCGCCACACAGACTCGCTGATTCACTGTAGGTGAACCAGGAGCTTGTCACAATATTAGAACGCCATCTTTCTATTTCGAATACACCTCTTTTTAGTTAAACCCCTCGTTGGGCGCCACTTCATATTGAATCAAAACGGGGGCTAGCTAAAATCCTACAAAATCAATTGACATTTACAAAACACAATTTACCAACAAAATAATTAAATTTAAAAAAAATAACCTCTTTTCTTCTGCTCTAGCTGCCCTTTTGCTGTCTTATGTTTCCCTATCTTGATATTTTCCATATTGATAAAATAATGGACCCATCCATAGGATGCTAATAATGTTGATTGTCATTGTTCGTAAAATATTCATTGGTTAATAAAAATCATCAATAAGTAATTAATATATTTTGAATGTCATGACAGCATTGTCAAGATTTTAGTTTTGCCAATAAGTTTCACAAGAAAAAAAGTTATTTAAATCCAAGTTCAACGCGTTACCAATGACAAGTGACGGCGACTTTTTTATCACAAAAAATACAGAGCTGAACGATAATATATTCAGAAATTGTTTTTAAAAATGGGTTCAGAATACGGTAAAGAATGGTGGAAAGTCTATAGTTTGTTTTACTTATAATACATAATATTTTAATAAGTGATATTTAACAAATATAAAAGTTATGGACTTTCCACCATTTTTTATAGTATTTAAAAGCTAAAACGCAAAATACACTCTTTTATTTTTGCCCTAATTATTTCAGGAAACTTATGTTAAGATTTAAACATGTACTGGCGCCAATTTGCAACCGTGCTAGTTCGAGACATACGTTTTATTAAACTCATCGTGTACGTATTTGTTGACATTAAGAGATAGAAATTTAAAGTGACGTCTTCTATTACTTTGAATGAAAAATCGTTTTCTAACTTAAGAAAAGAGTTGAGTTGGGTCTTAACTAATTTACTTGAGCCATCGCGATTTCTTTTGTCTCTAATTACAAATTATGCTATTTTTTTATCCTTAGAAACTGCCGAGAAGACCTCGAGAATAACCCTGCGAAATCACAAGCGTCTTCATGATCCCCCACCTGAAACGGCGACGCCGTGCATCACTTTAGAAAACCATCCCCCCGCCGAGCACCACCCGACCGTAGACTGCAATCAAAATGGTATGACGGAAATCAAAGAGGAGTCTGAGAACGACAAGAACAGCGTGTTCGAGGGCGACGACGATGACAAAAATCTGTCGTTCGACGACGTTTCGCCGGACGAAAAACAGGACGCCATCAGTCAACGAAAGACCAGGCACTCCAATCGGTCGTGCACGCCCATAGAAGAAGCTAAATGTGATGAAAATAGCGATGTGTTCGAAGAGACAATTGAAAAGAGCGACGTTTATGAATTTAACGACGACGAAAGTACGGATAATGTGATTTTGCGTAAAAGTAAAACTGTACAGGATATTGAAAATTCGAATACGAGAGCAAAGTCTGAAGAAATTATTAATACTGCCGCGGAGACCAAAAGTGATAGGGTTGATAGAGAAATCAAAGGTAAACTATTTTTATTTGAAATCCACTGGTTTTTATGTAAATATAGATGTAAATATGTATAAGTTAAAACAAATATGGAAAAATTTACACTATGACTAAAATGATTTTAAAAATTACATAAATATTAAAATAATTTGACATTTTACACTAAAAACTTACAATAGCAACTTTAATAATAAAATAATCCAAATTTGGAGTAGCCATGTGTGAGTTGATTAGATTAAAAGGTAGAAAAGAAAAATAGTCCTTTAAATCTCGCAAAGATGTTTTTTTTATATATATATATATATATATATATATATATATATATATATATATATATATATATATATATATAATAAACTAAGGAATCTTGGGATTTTCAGCAAAAATCTAACAATTGTGTACTCTTTTAAGTATTTATTCCAAGCTTTCGAACATGATTATGTTCATCTTCAGGGAGCTACAATATTAATTTTTACAGAGGTTATAAGAAACAATTTTGAAAAAACATATACTTACAACTCAGTGAGAATCGTTGCGTACATGTGGTGTTATATTAATAAAAAATTTACGGTACATCACAAAACGAGATAAAAATGGTTGATAACAATCATGTTAGCCAAAAAGTTTATATTTTTAATTTTACGTTAGGGCACATGGTCAAATTTTTAAAATAATTAATAAAATTCACATCTAACACCGTTCGGTACTAGAAACGAAAATGAAACTTTTTTTTTTTTTTTTTTTTTTTTTTTTTTTTTTTTTTTTTTTTTTTTTTTTGAACTATTTTTAGCGTGGGTACAAAGAGTCAGTTGTCATATGCCTGTCAACCGTCAGTCAAACAGTAGGAAAAAGAAGAAACCGTCAATGGCCTATGTCACCTAAGCACTAACAGTTCAACATCTCTGATACTGCCAAACTGATAGTTGAGAGTCATATGATGAAATAAATTATTTAAATATTATATTTTATCTATTAAATGTCAGAAATCATTGCAAGAAGGTATTACGGATAAAATTATGATTTGTATTTCAAGATGTCACTAATCCTATAAGCGACGTCACCCTCTGAGTGAACCATCCCAACGCACTAGGCTAAAAGGTTGTCATCCCCCTTGCCCGGGTTGGAACGGAGCACTCACCTGACGATATCGCGAACAGGGCCAGTGCATTTAGTTTTAATGCAAATTTGTAAAAATTGGAAAAAACCAACTATGCAATAACAATTGACATTTTGAACAATGTTCAGTATTGGGAAAAATACTCAAAAGGTACAAAGAAAAACGGATGAAATTTTGATTTGATAACAAAACATGTCACAAGCCTATTGGTGGTGTCACCAGCTGAGCAGGAACCAAAACACTCAAAAAGAGAGTTAAAGTCCCCCCTCAACTATTCTGTCACCACCCACAGGACAAGTGCATTTGGAGATGACTAAAAAAAAGTTTCAAAAAAAAAAAAAAAAAAAAAAAAAAAAAAAAAAAAAAAAAAGTTTCATTTTCGTTTCTAGTACCGAACGGTGTTAGATGTGAATTTTATTAATTATTTTAAAAATTTGACCATGTGCCCTAACGTAAAATTAAAAATATAAACTTTTTGGCTAACATGATTGTTATCAACCATTTTTATCTCGTTTTGTGATGTACCGTAAATTTTTTATTAATATAACACCACATGTACGCAACGATTCTCACTGAGTTGTAAGTATATGTTTTTTCAAAATTGTTTCTTATAACCTCTGTAAAAATTAATATTGTAGCTCCCTGAAGATGAACATAATCATGTTCGAAAGCTTGGAATAAATACTTAAAAGAGTACACAATTGTTAGATTTTTGCTGAAAATCCCAAGATTCCTTAGTTTATTTTCTAACTAGTCGGCAAAGACTAAGCCATTTTTGGCTTTTATATATATATATATATATATATATACAGGGTGGACCGGATTTAATTTGCGTATACAGAGATCTCGTAAACCATTGTTACCAAGTGCTGTAAAATTACATTCGATTGGAGATTACAGGTCGGTGCATCATGCCACGCTGCAAAAACAACAAAAAATGGTTTGGAGAAAATTATGTTCAAGTTTTATCACATCCCTCGAGCAGTCCGGATCTCAATCTGATAGAAACACTTTGGCACAAAATTGCAAGAAATTTTGAATAGTTTTACACCAGAATTTTGCAAAGGTCTTGTCGATACTATGTCTGATATACTTCAGGCAGTTATTCAAAGGGAATGTTACCTCTTATTAACTTTTTTTTAATTTTTCCAACATTTAGTTGTCAGCCTTTCCGTATATCAAACATTTAAATTAAAATTAATTGCAAAAAATTAAAAAAAGATAAATTTATTTTTTATAGTAACTCTAAACGACACAAAATATTACTAATTGCTTCTTTACGGTTTATACAAAAATTTAAATTAAAACTATTTTTTTTTTAATACTTGCTTGTTCCAGCATATAGTTATTAGGGCTCGTAGATGAATTCTTCACATTACCTTTTCTAGATTGATGTGGGAAATTTGGGAATATTTAGTGTGGGCATAGCACCAGGTTTCAAATGTAGGCTATTTATTGGCATGTATCCCAACAATCTCTGCTGCAGAGGCACTTCGAAACAGGAGACTTCGAAGTGTACAGAGCAAATACCACCTGCAAAAAAACATCTAGTCATAATATATGTACATTAAATTTATGTGCTAATAGTGCTAACATAATTAAAAATGCCCATGCTCACTTGTTGAGTCCATCAAAACATATTATAAATAACATCTTTAGCTCAGGAATCTTCCCTGATAGACTTAAAAGCGCCATAATTGTTCCATTACACAAACAAGGTGATAAAAATATCACAAATCATTATAGACCTATTGCTTTAACAAGCACCATTAGTAAGTTGTTGGCATTTATAAACAAGTATAATTTAATCAATGAAATTCAATATGGCTTTAGGGATGGTTCCTGTACTGAAGATGCATTGTGCAAGGTATCTAGTGAAATTTTTCAAAGATTGGATCAGGGGAATAAGGTGATTGGTATATTTCTAGACTTGGCTAAAGCCTTTGACACTGTGGCACACCAAATGCTACAATGGTATAAGGGGTATAGCTAACAATTTAATTAAAGCATACTTAAGTGTTAGATCCCAACGTGTTAGATTTCAAAAGGAGTTAAGCGAGGAACTTATAGTGGAGTTTGGTGTGCCACAGGGCACAGTGCAGGCACCATTGCTATTTAATATATATGTAGATGGTATCTTGTCCACTATCAATGATGGGAATGTCTACTGTTTTGCCGATGACACGGCTGTCATAATAAGTGGGCAGGATTGGCCGATAAAGTTAAAAAAGGCAGAGATGGCCATATTTAAACTAAAAAAATGGTTGAATAGTAGTCTACTATCCCTAAATGTTGATAAAACAAAATGGTTGGCTTTCTTTCGGCTAGAACATCTCCTAATAAAATAATAATTGTCAGTGTAAAAATACTATAAAAAGATCAAATAACATTAAATACTTGGGAGTACTCATTGAAGAAAGTCTCGCATGGAAAGATCATATACAATATGTCACCGGAAAGATTAGAAAATTAATTTTTAAATTCTATGAATTACATAACGTTCTTTCTCCAAAAATTTTAAAAGCTGTCTACCTCTGTCTTGTAGAATCAATCATAAACTATGGGTTAGTTTTTTGGGGTAATGCTGGTAGTACACTTGTCTCTGAGTTACAAATTGTACAGAAATACATAATTAAAATTATGCTTTTTAAAAACAAAAGATATTCAACCGAACTGGTTTATAAAGATAGTAATTTACCAATTCCTTATCAACTTTATTTGAAATCGATAATCAGATTTATGTTAAAAACAAACCATTTTAAACAAGGATTGTCTCATAGCATTAATACTAGACTGGCTGCTAAAAAAGATTTATTGCTTCAAAATCCTAAACATACTGCATGTCAAAACCATATCTGTTGTGTAGGTCCTAAGGTATATAATTGTTTACTACAGGAATTTAAAAATAAATCATATAAAATCAAAAATAGGATAAACCAATGGATAGTTGAAACAAATTTTTCGATTACTTATCTTTTATAAATATAACGTCCTCTAATCCTAAAATTTATTCATTTTCAGTATTTGCTTCTCTAACTATTAATATTAGATCATTTGCGGGTAATTTTAAGAAAATGTGATATATATCTAATTAACTTCTTTCTAAGAATGTATATAAGTGTCATTAAGCGTACACGCAGCATATTAACTTGCCATTGTGCACTGAATAGGTATTTATTTTCCTTTCCTTTTAATAATGCAACCAGGAGACAAGATTTAATTAATTCCTAGCAATGAAAAAAAATTATTATTTAAAATTAGACCATTAAAAGTTTTGTCTTCTAATTTATAAGTTCTTGATTACTAGTGAACTTAAGTCATACTGTTAGGTAATTAGGATACCTTCTTTATATTTAAGTTATTGTGTATATTTATGTAATAATTTGTAATTTAAATTACTGTAAACTGAATGGCTAATAAATAAATAAATGTTTATGCTACCGAATCAGCATTTTACATGACCATTGACACTGAATATTAATAAAACATCGAAAATTGAAAAGGAAAAATCAATGTTTTTTAACATCGATACATCGTGCGCATCCTTAATTAAGAGTGTCATCAGATCAGAGATGAATTTTACAATTTACAACCTCCACAATATCATCAAATAAACTAGGAACAACAGCGCACCCAACACAGTTCCCTTGGGTACTCCTTTATTATTTATTTTTTCAAAAATTGTGGTATTTACTTTTAATTTTTGTGATCTTTTATCTAGATAATATGCCAACAACTGCAATGCCACACCATCAATACCAATAGTTTACAACTTTTTAATTAATCTATATCTATTTACTGTCTCAAATACCCTTTGTAAATATAAGAATTAAAATACTGCAAGTGTAGTACGATTATTTTGAATGTTTAATTTCCACTCAGCAAGCACACATTGTATAGTTGCTTCACAGTTATGTTTGCTCCAAAAACATGTTTGGAAAATCTTCATTTTCTCATTCGATTCAAGAAAATCAACCAACTTTTCTTAATACAACTCTCTAAATTATTTTTTCCTTAGCACAAATCGTATTAAGTGAGTAAATCAGATGCTTTTACAGACTTAGCTACTTTTGGCACTGGTACTATTGTTGTTAATTTAAATGGACACGTTACCTTTTAGAAGTGATTAATGAATCGTATGTAATAGGGGAATTTATCAAGGTTTAAAATACTTTTTTATTAATATATTAACTTCATCAGGACTATATTTATTTGGTACATCAATTGTTATGTCTTTAAGCTCAAAATTATTCAATAAATGAAAATATTTAAATCTGCCTGTCCTGTGTATACTATCAGTAATAATCTCTATATTCTATACTTTTAACATCTTTATTTTTTAATATATCGGTGATTTCCATGTGATCATTATAAATTTCGTTATAATTAATTTAAAGTAATTTATTTTCTTCTTTTTTTCAGAAGTAAATGTGTACTCTTTACTTACAGAAAGTCCACCAGTGTGTGTTCAGGAAGAACAGAAGACTCCAGAGAAATGTGGTCGATTAAAACTCACGTTGCGGATGAAGCGCAGCCCGGTGTTGGACGAAGTCATCGAATCGGGAAACAGCATGAGCGAAGACTACTTCGCACCCGAATACGAAGTGCTTCGCGTCGAAGGCGTCGAAACCGCTTTAGATGGTTCCCTAGACGGCGCTTCTTGTACGCCGTTTTCACACAGAAAAAAGCGACATAAATCGAAACTGAAGCGGCGCGAAAAGCGTTCGAAATTGGCAGAGTTAGAAGAGGCCGAAATGATACCGCAACTTCCTATGAAACGCCTGAAGCTTAAATTCGGCAACGAGAGCCACACTATTGACATACCGTCCACTAGTACTAATTGTCAAACATGATAGGAGGTTCGTAGGAATGTGTTTCAGATTTTTTGCTTAAAATTAAAAGCTTGGAGTTAAAAAAAAAAAAACGCGATTAAGATTGGAGTTGATTTACATATTTTTTCGTTTCTGAAAAAAATGCTAGGAGTTTCACTTTATTATGTACACTTGTACAACTTACTTAATAGGTAACGGTAAAAATGTCGATTTTATGCACTGAAATGCACTAACCAACTGGGCCATAAAGGTTTATGTCAAGTTAATCATCTAATCATATACAATGACATTACCATTTTCTACAACGGCTTTTTTAAGACACCATAATCCTGCGCCTACCGCTGGCGTGTTTGCTGCAAAGTATTTCCATCTTTACAAGGCGAGAATGAACAATAAATTTGTACATTAAGCTTGTGCAAATGTGTATCAAAAAGTGTCACTGGCTCCCCAACCATACATGACTTGTTATAGATACTTATTGTTTTCAAAGTTACAAATTACGTCACAATAATGCAACGTATTTAAATAGCATTGTTCATTTTAACATGGCATTTGCGTAATAATACTCCCATTTAAAATGGTGTATAAATTGTATATTTACATATCAAAATAAGTGTAAAAATGCCATTTTTTTTGTAAGATAGATAAACGAAAATTAAATTGAAATACTAAAACATTACTAAACAGTATTTCAAATAAAAAAAGGAATTAACTTTTAAAAACTACAATATAAATTTGCAAAATGAAATCCTGTAGCTGTAGCTATATATATATTTTTTTAGCTAATTGTGAATTAAGGACCTCATTGAATTTTGAATGATTTTATAGAAAATAATGAAACATTATTTTACCTAATTTGAATTTTAATAATAAAAATCTGACGTGTCCAACAAATGACTTTCTTGTCTGGTTATTATAAGCTTTTTCCAGTTATTTTGTACAACCTTTTGTATTCATTGCCAACGAACATACTAAAAAATTTATATTTTGTGCTTTTCCTCAATTTTTTTCATTACTATCCATTTTAGAGAAATCATATATAGAATAAAAATTATAGAGAATGATATCGCAAACAACTTTTATTTGATTCATTTTCTTAAAAATTAAAATTTTGTGCTTTTTGTCAAATTTCTCGAATACGGACCATTTTAGGAAAATTATGCATGGGACAAAAATTACATTACAAGCAACTTTTATTTAAAGAATTTACTTTTACAAGCTTAAATAACATATATTTCATAAAGTAGAAACGATCTTCTATAAAGTACCCCCCAGATGTTCCCACTATGCCCAAAATTTAATCTATGGCAGGATGGATTAAAGATTAAATTTAAAATTTGGTGCTCTTCTCTTATTCAGTTTTTGAGTTTTCTTCAAAATTTAAATATGTACTTTTTCTCAAATACCTCGAATACGGTCCATTTTAGATAAATTATGTATAGGACAAGAATTATAGAAAATGGCATCACAAACAACTTTTATTTGAACAATTTCCTTATAAATTTAATTTTTTTGCTTTTTGTCAATTTTCTCGAATACGGACCATTTTAGGAAAATTTGTAGAGAATAATATTAGGAGCAATATTTATTTAACGAATTTTCTTCTCCAATCGTAAATAGCAGATTTATGCCATAAAATAGAAAAATAACCCCCCATAAAGTACCCCCCAAATGATCCGACTATGCTCAAGATTTAATCAGTTCACTGCAAGTCGAAATAAAACTTAAGTTTAAAACTTTGTTTTTCTCTGTATCCGTTCATAAGTTATCGAGTATACAGACAGACAAACAAACTTCATTGCGAAAATAGTCAAAGCGGATTCAGGGGACCCCAAAACATAAAAATCCATCGAACACTCGAGGTTGAAAAAATCATGATTCCTATACTTTCCTTATCTGTATACAGACAGGAAAGTAAAAATTAGTTTTAGGTAGTATCAAATATAGTCAAGGTTGCTCAAATGTAAAAATAACTCATTAACTAGATTGGCGAGTAAGAAGGTCATCTTAAAATTTTCATGTTCTTTGAAATTTTACTTTTTCAGATTGTATTCGCAAACTGTACATCATTGCTTGTGCTTTTGTAAGCTGAATGTGATACTCTATACTAAACAGAAATGCATTTTTTCTTGGATTTCATGATTTATTCTGAAAAAGCAACAAATTAACATTTTGGGCGAAATTCAACATTTTGTTGTTAGGGAAAATATGGAATGAACAAAATGAAAAAAATTGACACTAATAACGTGTATTCCCTCCTCTTGCATTGATGACTGCTTGAAGTCGGCGCGGCATACTTTGAATTAAGTTGCGGATCACATTCTGGTCGATGTTATCTCATTCCTGCAACAGCAATCTTCTCAGCTCCTGGGCAGTTCTTGGTGCTGGTGTGTGTCTGCGGATCTGTAGTCCCAACTCGTCCCAGACATGTTCTATGGGATTCATGTCTGGGCTGCGGGCTGGCTAGTCAAACCGTCTAATTTCTACCTCATCCCAGATACTCCCTGATAATTCTGGCTGTATGTGGTCTTGCATTATCTTGCATAAAAATGCCACGTTCCCCCATAGTCACCATGAAAGGCATAACATGGTCTTTTAGCACCTCCGTAATGTACCTGTGAGAGGTTAGGGAGCCATTTTCTATGAAGACCAACTCTGTACGAGCTTGTGCAGTGATTCCCGCCCAAACCATAACTGACCCACCGCCAAATGGAAGACGCTCGTCAATGCAAACTTCAGCATATCTTTCCCCAGGTCTTCTCCACACTCGTCGACGTCCATCTGACCCAGTGAGGCAAAAACGCGACTCATCTGAGAACAATACCCAGCTGCAGTCATCATCATTCCAACGAACGTGATCTCTGGCAAATGTCAATCTTGCAGTCCGATGCTGACGTTGCAACGGGGGACCTGTAGCCATTCTTTTGCATGACAGTCCAGCAGCATGAAGTCTTCTTCTAACGGTCCATTCATTAACGTTGACATTTCTCACTTCTTCCAACTGATTTCGCAGTGAAACCGCAGTAGCTGTCCTATTCCGCAAAAAACGGTAATCTCGTTGAGTGGTAACTCCTTTTCGCCCAGACCCTGGTCTTCTAGTGATCAGGCCAGTCTCCAGAAAGCGCTGGTACACCCTTTACACACCACAAAGCACCAATAATTCTTGCAGTTTCACGTTGCCCCCAACCATCTTGTAACAGCGCAACAATTCTTGCCAAACAATCGGATCTAAAGGCATTATGGGCCTGTTAAATCACTACACAAAGAATCAACAGTAAACTGGAAAACAGGCAAGGGAAATGTGAAAGTCGTACAAACAGGGGGCCTTTGTGTTCTAATAAATCGAATGACAGCTGTCAAGTCTCGGAAAACAATTGCTTCAACGCCTGCTGATACTATTATGTCCTTATCAATATTGACGCTAAAATTATTCGCAATTTCTGAAGTGACCTCAATTTTTTGCTCGCCAGTGTATATTATACTCTTCACAGTTTAACAGACCCCCTTAACCCCCATTTTCAATGGGCTTGATTTTTCCTGAAGATTTCAATTTGACATCGTTTTTTGTTTCTGAGTTAGGATTTTTTTCAATATTTTTACTAAACATTTTATGTTGATATCGCTTTTCGTTTTTAATTTAGAGTTTTTTATTACAACCCCCCCCCCCTTGACCTTCATCATATTCATATTTTCATTTAATCAATAGACTTTGTACCCTTATAAAGCTTGATTTTTGCCAAAAATTTCAAGTTGGTATTTTTGTTCGTTTTTGAGTTTTTTTTAAATATTTCAAACCCCCTTAACCCCCAGTTTTATTAAAAAAATTTTCAAAATCAAAAAGTTTCTTTTCCTCATAGAGCTCCATTTTTGCTAAAAATTTCAAGTTGATATCATTTCTCGTTTATAAATGAGAAAATAGACAAAACTAAGGACTCTGATAACATTTTTTTCACCTTCCAAGACAGACTGTGCCTTATGGAATATAACTAGTCAAAAATGATTTTTTTAAAAGGTTGTTTACATGCGAGTGGAAATTGAGATAAGAGTCAAACAGAATGCCTAGATTCTTATGGAATCCACTATAAGTAAAGTTAGTTGATCAATTTTTATGGAAAGACTTTGACTAAATTACGTTGTTTTTTATGTTTCCAAATAGGATTAGATGACATTTATTTTTATTGAGCTTAAGATTAGGTTTAATTGACAATTTATGAGTAAGATCAAGATCTTCATTTAAGGCTTGTTCAGCAACTTGATAATAAAGTTGAGTGTCATCGACATACACTTGTATTTTACAGTTGCTAACAGGTGTCAAGATATCATATAAAATAAAAAGCATTGGTCCTAATATTGAGCCCTGTGGCACACCAGATTTGACGTTTTGTAATGAAGAAAATTCATTATTTAAAAGAGCTTTTTGACTACAGTTAGACAATATGAATGAATGAGATGAATAGAATTTTCAGAAATACCAAAATATTTTAATTTGAAACAAAGTAGATTGTGATTGATAGTATCAAATGCTTTAAAATAGTCCAAAGCAACAAGTTCTGTAATTTTTCTTTTGTCTATATTTCTTACAATATCATCAGTAACTTGACAAAGTGTAACAGATGTATTGTAACCACTTCGGAAACCAGCCTGGCAATAAAGGGAAATTCTATTATAGATAGCCTTTTCAAGAATTTTCGACATCGCAGTCAGAATACTAATAGGCCTTAAATCAGAAAAATGTTGAGGTTGTTCAACTTTACAAAGTGGTTTAATTGTTGCAATTTTCCAAGATGTTGGAAAGTAGTTTCTTTGAATACAACAGTTGAAGGTGCGTAATGTAATTATCAATATGCGGACTACAGTACTTCAGCATGGAGATTGACACAGCATCAAAACCCATGGCATTAGATTTGATATTATGGAGTAGTTTATTAAATTCTCTGACAGTTATAAAATCAAATACTAGTTTGTTTCCATGCAAATTAGGTAGCGTTGAATTATTATAATATTCTAATAGGTCATCATCTACTTCATTATTAACAAAAACAACAAAATTACTTATTTATGTCTTTGGGTTTCTGCAGTGATATAGGTAGGGTTAATCGCTTTCATTGCTTTAGTTTAGAGGATGGTTAATGTTCATGCTTATGGTAATGGGAGAAATTGACGCTTTTTATATTTGCGAGTATTTCAGTTATTTTTAAAATTACCTATTAGTATTGTTTATAATGAATAATTTAGAAAATTGGCACTTTATGTATTTTCCTGTTTTAAAAAAATGTCTAAAAAAACTCCATTCTTAGTTATATGTGATTTTTTGTCTATTGTATGGCAACATTTTGAATATGAATAATACTCTTTTCATATCTTTATATAAACCCTAATTTTTCTATTATAAACAAATACTGCCCCCCTTGAGAAATAATTTTTTATTTGTATTTTTTTTTTATTCTGTAGTTCTTAGTGTCATTGTTTCCCTGGTGATTTCTTTTTTAAATAACCCTTTATATATTTTTTTAAAAAAATTTTACTTTGACGATTTTTATTTTATTTTTGAATTTTGCATTTTATTACAATTTTTATATACATATTATATAATCCAGCTTAAGTTTATTTATAATATATTCATTCAAAATGGATCCATACTCGCTATAGACTATACAAAATAATGCAGTATTTGATTCGGAAAGAAATATTTGTACAGAACGTTTACAAATTTTATTTTAATGTGATTTTTATTTAGTTCTTATATCTTTTAATGAGGTTTCCAGCAGATATAATAAAATATGAAACATCACAAAAAATAATACCATAATAAAAGAAAACCACAAATACTTAAAATTTTGATGTAAGAATACCTAATTTTAGGCAAAACTAAAAGTTAAGTAGAATTGATTTTTAGTAGCAGTGATAATTTTTTAAGGTTGACACAGTCGGGATTTTTTAAGTGAATCATTGTTGGGTATTTATTTTTTTCTGTTAGCTGTTCTATTGGTTAATTGAGGCATGGTTTTACAAATCACTGATTTTAAATGTTCCCAAAAAACTTTAATTGTATTAAAGCTTGTGATTGAATTCAGCAATTATGTAATTCAGTCATATTAATACATAACGCTCACTAAAATTTAAAATTAAAAATCAAATAATTATTGTCAAAACATCAACAAAAAAATACAAAACGTATTTTTTTACTGCACGAATTTTAAAAATTTTATTTATTTTTTGCAAAGCATAAAGAATTGACATGGTATTGTCATTTACTATATTAGTGCTCTTCCTCTTTTTATTTTATTGCAGTATACATCGCCCAGTTACCAGATTTAACATCAATAATTTTTCTTTATGGACATTAAATATCTGTGTTTTATGATACTAGACCTCGAACATTGTAATAACCAAAAAGAATAGTAACGAAAAAATATAAACAACTTTTAGTTGAGCCAGAAATTATGCATTCCAATAACTTCGGATGATCAAAATCACAGTTCGATTCTTTGATACTAAATTATTTAATAATCTATTTGCTGGTGGTAAATTTTGATAATTCCGCTTTTTAAAAACCGAAATCTTATAGAATTGTAACTTAATTTTTGTGTTAAATCAAGTATAGTGGGAAGAATATTATACTATACAGGGTTACTCATTAAGAATGGGATACGGATCAACTGAAGGTTCTCTAATTCAAAATAAGATGATTAAATTAAACATGCTTGGATAAAATATTACTAGTTTCCGAATTACACCGTGTTAAAGCTGAAAATTTAAAAATGAATAATGGCAGAATATAGATTTCAGTACAGATGTAGGCAAAAACTTTCAAGAGTTCATAAAGCTATATTACAACCTTTCTAAAATACCGAAAGTTTTTTTGCCTACATCTGTACTGAGATTTATATCCTTTCATACTGAACCCTCAAAATTTTGTCCAAGAGCCGCCACTGGCTATTTCTTTTTTTTTTTTTTTTTTTTTCATTTTTCAGTATAATTTTACTAAATTCGGCAAACATTTTTGGTGTCATACATCAAAATTAGTTAAATAAACTTTGCTATAGCATTCAATATAAAAACCGATACACGTCATCAATCAGTTGTGAAGTCATAGCCTTGCAGTGTTGCCCAATCTTCAAAATAGTCTAAGAATGTAGGAATTTTTAAAACTATGAGGTTATGTTTTTTTGGCAATGTTATTAGGATCAATTAATTTTAAATGTATAATGAATTCTATATAAAAGCCAATGAAGGTCATTGATAATATTTAAATTGAGGTTTTAGAAAAACACTGAATTTAATAGTAATAAATTTTGCACAAGAGGTTTAAAATGACAATAAAAGTTAGGTTAGGGATGAAAAAACAAACAAATATTATTTAGGCTTGATTTAATTTACAATAAAAAATAATTATGTTCAGTTAGTTTATAAACATCCATATATAAAAGAATAACAATAATTAGAACAGTTAGGTAATAAAATTAACAACACATGACATTTTAAAACTTAAATAATATTTAAGCTAAAATCAGTCAGAATAATCAGTACTAAAATCAGAATCATCTCTATTTGGTGTTATAATAATGGGAGCAATGTCCAATCGGTCCTGTATATGCTCTCTTTCACACCATTTAAAAATTTATTTCTCAGTGTGTCTTACACTGTTTGCCCACATTTGTGGGGTAATGGTTCGGAGTGCTTCAGACCACATGTCTATACAATCTCTTTGTGTCTTTCCATCCCGACCAATGTGCCTGTTATAATATTGTTTTGAAATACCCCAAATCAGTTCTATTGGATTAAAAATACAATGTTAAGGAGGAAGACGTAACACCTTATGTCCATACTGTTCAGCCAGCATATCAGCTACATAATATTTTTGGTGGTTTATTACTAAAAAAATAAAATCATTTAAAAAATACAAAAAAAGTAGATTTCCATTATTCACCGTCTAACAAGGTTCAAAAGTTCAGCCTTAAACATGGTGACTGAATGAGGTATGTTCTGATTCGTTAACCACTCTTGAATTTGAACCTTAATCGAATTACTATTCAGTATTGTGTGTGCCAATGTGCTATGGTATGAAGCATTGTCCATTACAATTAAAGATGGTTCATGCAGTCTTCGAAGCAATTGTTCTTCAAACCATTTTAAAAAATTTTAATTATTCATCTCACCGTGATAATCATAATCATTGCTTTTTGAAGCAAATATGGCCTCGGCACCATCAATAAATCCATTTTCGTTTACAGCATGAAGAATTATATATCTATAAAAAAGATCAATATACAGTTAACATGTATATATTCATTAGTTTTTTTTTTTTATTAACCTTTTACCATCAACTTTTGTACTTTTTACACTTCTTTTTTTGCTGTCTTGCCAAGAACTGGTACAAATTTGCTTTCTTTTCTTTGGTATATTTTCTTAAAAATTCTGCCCGTTTCACGGCAATATCTGGAAGTTCCATAAGACCTCGCCTTGGTTCATCTTTCTGGCCATTTGAAACCTATTTCTAATAATAAGGTATGCAATGATGTGCGACATCCATTGAACAACTCCTTCTCATTAAGTTTCACCAACAAAGAATCTAAACTTACATGCTCCTCTGAAATCATACATTAATTTGTAATTGTTTAATAATAATTTATATACATATACACTTACTAGACTCGTACATGCTATAAATAACATCTCGAATAGCACTGGTATTCAGAATTCTTGTGTTGGTAACTTTCTTTTGCCTAGGGCGCTTTTTTGGTGGTGACTTTAGAACTTCACTGTTCTTTACAGCTTGTGAAATAGAACTAACAGTAGAAAAATTGAGATTAAGTGCTTCTGCGACACGCTGAAACAAAATAATATTAATTTGACGGTGATACATTATTAATCAACTCACTTCTCTTACAGCTGTTAAAGGTAACAAAGGCCCATTATTATCACGTTCTTTCTCAAAATAATTTATTAGAGAAGTTCCTTGCAGCGACTATTTAATTGTTTTGGCATTTTTCAATGAAAAAATACACAGTTTACTGATTTGTTAATAATTTGCCGAATTTAGTAAAATTATATTGAGTAATTAAAAAATTATAGCCATTAACAATTCCTTAATTTTCAAACTTTAACGCCCTTTATTTCGGAAACGATCAACATTTTATGTTTCGCTTAATCGTCTTATTTTTAATCCAAGAATCTTCAGCTTTTCTATGTCTAATTTTTAATGAGACACCCTGTATGTAACTTCAAGAGTACTAAATAGAAATTTTTGAAGAAATTTAAAAAATTTGTACAAGGAAGTTTTCAAAGGATGCCATCTTATTTGCTGTAAATAATTCTGTATTTTAACAGAATTATATTTAATATAGATGATGGAATTATCCATTGACAGGATACAAAACTATTTATTGACAAATGACAAAACTATCGATTGACAGATAACAAGGTGAAAATTAACAAAATGGTAGAATAACAGATTTTCCAGACATAGCATAATGCCACGGTTTTTAGTAGTTTTGTCTATGATTAAAAAAAATCTAGGATGTCATCCTGAAAAACCTTCAATTCCATTTTAAAAATTATATCTGTAAACCTTTTGTGTTTATTGTAAGATAAATGGATAGATGTTCAAATTGATGTTAATTTCTGGATAAATTTTTAATAGATGTATAATAAATGTTTAAAAAGTCAATCAATATTGTATAAAATGTTAAAAAGATCTTCAAACTATACTTGTTTACAATAATGAAAAAAAATCAATTTTTGTGTTTGTAATAATACATTTTTATTTTAATATTTCATCAGTTTGTGCGCTTACTTTTTTAATCGTTTTCAATTCTGAACCTGCGATTTTCATAATTTCGCAATTCCAGTTTTTAAATTTTAAAATTCCCAAACTGTTTTTGGCCTAAAAATAGTGTAAATCAATTTTATAAAAAATTAGCAAGTTACAATGAACATTTTCGTTACAAAATTTTTTGTAAAAAATTCGTACTTTTTTTGGTTCTGGAATACATTTTTCAGCTAAAGGCTGCGTATTTCATCATATAGGCATTTATTTTTAGGCAAAATACATTCCAACAAAAAAAAATTGGACTTATTGTTAAAACAAAGCACTTCTACTTAAAAAATAACGGCGCAAAATCTGTGGGGTGAAGACTGTAATTTATTTATTTTTAGTGTAATTATATGTACAGTGAGCGAAGGTTTTAGTTTAAAAAAATTGTAGAATTAATTAGTTTAATTACGAATTTATTGTAAATAGCTATTTTATTTATTTTTACAAGCATTTATCTCAGATTTTTATATTTTTTATGTTTTTCGTAAGTATTATCAAGAGGTCGAACCGAAAAAATGTAGCTTATCAAGAGAAATAATACAAATAAATAAATAAATAGATTAATATCATGTTTCGAGTTTCTCAACAAATCTGTCGATTGGGTTTGAAGAAAAATTAATTAAAAAACGTCAAGAAGTAACGTCTAAACAGGCTACCAAGTAGCTATGAAGAAAATATTAAATTATTTGTATATTCTATTAATGTTTTTCAAATTTTTTGATCAATTTAAAAAGGTTTGCATTACAGATATAACAATGCTACTATATCTTACAATTTGTTCCTTTTTAATCTGAACTAGGTTGATTCATGTCATATTCTTTACCATTTCAGATCAAATCAATATCCAAAGATTTCTGATTTTGTTGACACTTTTGAGCCAAGATTTTTGCTCCTGTTTATTTCCTCTATTTTTTGCTGCAAAGAGCTCGTTAAGACACAGTGGGTTCCGCTGTCTGAACGAGGCCTAAGGATGTTTCTTCGCTAAAGAATTCAAAAATTAAAATTATTAGTATGTCAAAACTGTATCCTGATGTCCTCATTCCAAAATCACTATCAAATCTTTGAGTTGTATTCTAATAAATGATAAACCAATTTCTGAATAAGGAAATTTAAAATGTCCCTCAAAATCTAGCGCTTTTTCCTTATCGCCTTCCAAACTAAACTTTATCAGGTCTATCCCAGCAAACATTTTGGTGTAATTTGACGTCGATACTACCTAAATTATATATAATAAATTTGGTCGCAAAATTAGATTTAACCATAATTAAGTAAAATTTACGTTGGCTCGACGTGGATTCGAAATAAGTGCAGAATAAGACGACGTCGAAATTTGGTTTTATTTACCAAAATAGGTAGAATTACATCTAAATCCACATTGTAGTAGCCCAGTACGTTTGGTTAGTAATACCTCTCTAGGGAAATTTGACGTCAGTATAACGTTAATTCGACGTTGATTTAACTAAGTTTAGGTAGAAACTACCAAAATATTTGCAGATGACGTATGCCTCCAAGTGTACGAAAAGAAATTTTATAATTATTTGGTATTTTTATCTATATATAAGTAGAAATATTGTAAGAAGTCACCAACACAACTAAAACATATACCTAATTCACATGAAATATTGAAAATAAATAAATGTCGGTGACAAAAATATATGTAATGTAATTGCGGTGAATATACAGTTCACGCTTGTTGAAATTAATGCGAAGAAAATTTTGTCGTGCAGTTCTACTTAGAAAAATTACAATGCCCTTCCAAAATACTCTCTAATTAAAAAAATATAAGAAAAAAATATGATCGTGTAAAAAAATAATAATATTATGAGCTAAAACTATGTTACGTTTGTTGTGTATCACTTTAGAAAATCAATAATGTTTCGTTTTTCGGTATTTTTATTCGTATGTTTTAGTTATGGTCATTTTAAAAATTTAAAATTTGGAATCGTACTTCAATTACGTTAAGAAAATATGGCGTATTGTGCGAATTCGACCTAAAAGTTATTATGACTAAGAAAATCTGTGTATTTTACAAATACCTTTTTACTAAGTTGAATTAACTTCAATTTCACGACATATTAGTTAACTTTACCTATTTAAAGAAATAATAACTTATAGGTTTTATAAACAATTTACCTATAGGTAAATATAACATATTTAGGTCACGTTGTTCTGCACTTGAGATTTTAGACGTTTCACTTTACGATAAAAATCGGAAATATAACGATATGATTTATTATTTTTCGAACTCATTTTATTAATTATTTTTCGCACTCATTTAAAGCTCTATCTACACCACACGTAAATTCAGATTACGACTGTAATGGTTTTTTAAAATGGCCGAAATTCTTAAGAATAATGACGAAGACAGTAACTGAACAACCTAATTGTTAAAATTACATAAATAATATAAATTTTACAAATAGGTCATGTATGACTCTTTTTAAATTGGTGGTTTTTAGTCGAATTTACTTTGTGGTAGATTTTTCAGGTAATTGCTACAACAAAGTTAATAAATATTTCTTCAAGATGACTTATAGGTCAACTAAATGAGTATTTGGTTGAAATTAGGTAGATAAACATGTAGAATTTTGCTACGATCTCGACCTAATATTACTTTAAAGGAGAGTAAATAAAAGTGGCCAAATAGGTTACTATGGAGGCATAAAATTACGTAGAATTTTTAACCAAATCTACCTAGTTTGGATATTCTACTATAAAGACGATTTTTAGTTGCCAAACAGATAGATATTACCTAAATATGGCACCTAATTTTACTACAAAGGAAATTTAACTTTGAAGTAATTGTTGGTTATTTTTTTTAGTAGTTTTTCCCTTGCTGGTATGGTTAAAGTTACTTTTAAGCAGATTTGTGTAAAAGGTAGATTTCTTGGTATAATTAACGTAAATTTAAATATAAATTAAAACCGTTTGGTAAATTTACATTAGAGGTATATTTTTCTAGTCAATTTTACGTAATAATTACCTCAATAAGTAAATTCGTCTTTAACAAAGTCGAGTTATAACTAATGTTATAGAAAATGTTTGCTGGGATCTTTGGCATGTTCACTTTTTTCTAAGAATTATTTATCTACGTGATAATTAATTTTTTCAAGATATTAATACAATAAAAATTAGAAAAAAAGTTCTAAACAAATATTTAAATATAAATTCTTTGAAATACCCTTTTTTTTTAAATTATCCCTACAAAATAATGAAAACTATTTCTAAATTGCCAAAGAGAAAACAAAGGACAGAAATAAGGATAAGATATATACCAATTGAAAATTCTTTTTAAGGAGAACATTTTCTTTCAGAGTTATATCATCCTAAATGTAACTAATTGCACTATAGGCTAGTGCTTATATTCTGTTGTAGTGCTTATTACAGGCAAATAATGTTAAATATTACTTCTTAGTAATATAAAAACAATTGTAATATCTGGGTATATCATATAATGCAGTCGAGGATTTTATCTGCCACGTGTGTCCCTTACCAAAGGGTCGTATTGATTACTAGGCCCCACTTAGGCCCTCCAACGGACCAGGTCCAATGGTCCGAGAACAAGGTAATGAACAAACAATAATACAATCATAAATATTATTACCCCAGTTACATTAAAACGAATACAAAGCCATTTTCAACATATACAGGGTTGGGCATCCTATACACATCAGTCCAGACTATGACATGATTTTTTTTAAATTATTTTAGTACAGAAAGATGAATATCTATTGGAGCTATAATACATAAATATTTTGGAAGTTTTTATCTTAAAAGTAAACTTTAAAAAAATGCACATTACAAATGTTTTAATTCCTTAGTACAATATAAAATGAAACTAATAGGTAGAAGACATTTCTCATGCAAGCTAGTAGGTGGCTTGCATGAAAAATGCCTTTCAGCTAAACTAAAGTTAGATTATATTATATAGAACTTGGCAACTATGCATTTTTTCAATTTGAGATTTTAATTTTGTTTAGTTGTCCCTATGGCCACAGTTTATCCATAACTGATTTCAGCTAAAGTTAAATTATATTATCTATAAGTTGGCGGCATTTCCTTATCAGCATATTTAGGTTTTTGTTTAGTCGTTACCATGACAACAGTCTCTATGGCAACAGTTTCTCTGTAACTAATTTCAGCTAAAGTTAAATTATATTATCTATAAGTTGGCGGCATTTCCTTATCAGCATATTTAGGTTTTTGTTTAGTCGTTACCATGACAACAGTCTCTATGGCAACAGTTTCTCTGTAACTAATTTCAGCTAAAGTTAAATTATATTATCTATAAGTTGGCGGCATTTCCTTACCACGATATTTGGGTTTTTGTTTAGTCGTTACCATGACAACAGTCTCTATAGCAACAGTTTCTCTGTTACTGATTTCAGCTAAAGTTAAATTATCTATAAGTTGACAACTACGCATTTTCTTACCACCGTATTTAGGTTTTTGTTTATTATGGCAACAGTTTCTCTGTAACTGATTTCAGATAAATTAAATCATCTATAACTTAACAACAAATAGGGGGTTTCTCACCACATGATTTGGATTTTTGTTTAGTCGTTACGATGACAAGCGTCCCTAATGGCAACAGTTTCTCCATAACTGATTTCAGCTAAACTAAAAAATTAAATCATATAACCTGGTAACTACGCGTTTCCTTACCACCATATTTGGGTTTTTGTTTAATCGTTACCATGACAACTATCTCTATGGCAACAGTTTCTCTGTAACTGATTTCAGCTAAAGTTAAATTATCTATAAGTTGGCAACTACGCATTTCCTTACCACCGTGTTTAGGTTTTTGTTTAGTCGTTACCATAACAACTGTCTCTTTGGCAACAGTTTCTCCGTAACTGATTTTAGCTTAACTACAGTGTAATTAAATTATTTACAACTTGGCAAAAACACATTTCCTCACTATGGGATTTGGGTTTTTGTTTATTCGTTAACATGATAAGTAACTCTATGGCAACAGTTTCTCCGTAACTGATTTCAGCTAAATTAAATCATCTATATTAGCTAAACTAAAGTTAAATTAAATCATATAACTTGGTAACTACGCATTTCCTCACCACGGGATTTGGATTTTTGTTTAGTCGTTACCATGACAAACGTTCCCTTAGCAAGTTTCTCCACAATTGATTTCAACTAAAGTGACAATTAAATCATCTAAAACTTGACAACTACGAATTTCCTCACCACTGGAGTTGGTTTTTTGTTTAATCGTTACCATGACTATCGTGGGGGGGGGGTATTTTATGTCAGCAAAAGTACTTTTAGCATACAGACGGTTTTCAACCAAAAAAACCTGTGGTTTGTCACATGTACTGTGATATAACTAGGAACGTATAGATGATAGCGACGTCCTAATAAAAACAAAAGTTCTTACCGATATCTTTCATTTGGCATATATCTGACTCCTATTGGGGGTGAGGCAAAACTACCCATTCTCCTTTATTGAAAATTTAAAAAACTACCTGGAAGGATTCGAAACTTAAACATTCGCCTTCTACGCACACCGCCTTACCAATTCAGCCATCTTGCTATTAAATGTCCGAATTGTTAATTTAAATATTTGTGGCAGAATATTGTTAATTTCTCAATAAACCGAGCTTTTAGGTTCGATTCCTTGCTGGGACAGTCTTTTCAATTTTTATTTTTGGGGTTCAAACATAGCTTTCATTTTTTCGTAGGGGTAATTTAAAAAACAAATATTTTGGAATTTATATGTATAAATTTTTAACCGCTTCCATCTCTATTAATCCTTTATTTAGTAAAAAAAAATGTATTAGCAGGTTTCATAAATTCAAAATCATATATTTAAGGAAGTAGCATTCTTTATATATCCAGGTAACTCGTTAAATGCCTGTAGTCCTTTAATAAAAATTGTATTTATGCATTTACATTACTAGCTTGACGGATATAAACTATTTAAATACTTATTTGTATTTATTAAACTATTGAAAGTGGCATTTTTTCATCTTTATTAGTGGAAAATATATACCTCATGGCATGAGTTGTATTTCCATGTGTTTTGTATTTGGATAAATACTTGTTAAAATTTACTGTTGAAATTTTATCTGGAATTTAAAGTTTGTGTGAAGAAAAATGGACAAAGCACAAACAATGTAAATATCAGTGTAGACAATGTAAGATTTCCGCATGACTACGTGTAATCATTACAAGTTCTTTGTAGAGGAAGAAAGTCTAGCTATAGCCTGTATCCAAATTTAAATTAAAGATTTATCAGAATTATGTACGGTAGATTATTTGAAGCTACTGCCTTATATGAAATAATAGTTGTACAAATGTCAATAGCGACATTTGACATCAATAAGTTTTTTATAATTCTATTCTTAAACAAATGTTTTCATATTTCGAATTTACCTGGTGCAATAAAATAGCAATAGCATAGTAATTTTTTACTACAAATACCAATCTATCTATCGAAGCTATAATTTAAATCCTTTTATCAGTATCATGCCTTATATTAAAATAGAATTTAAATACCTAGCGCTAAAGTTTCTTTCGATGCAAAGGATCCATACCTAGTTTATTTACCTCATCTTTATATATCTGTACATTTATCAGATCGTTTGTAAAATATTCATTTAAACCCTTTAACAAATATGTTCCTAGTACCTATTCTTGTATTAAACTTACTGTATATCCTACATCATCTGTAATAAACTTTTTTATTTGATCATACCAAAGGGTTTTTATAATCTTCTCATTTTATTCCTGGTCATATTCATTGGATCGAGGGTATTGCAAGAATTTTAAAGAGTTGCAACAATAAAATTATTTTGAGACGGGCAGTGTATAAATAATTGGCCTTTGAGCTATATACAGGGTGTTATTGAAATACACGTACATATTAAAATGGGGAATAGTATGTAATGACCAAAAACGATTGGCACCAATTTTAACTTCAAATTCTAAAATTTAAATATTGGGGAAGAGTCCCCTTTTCCGACCTACTAGTTTCCATATTTAAAGAAGTAAAATAAATCGAAATTGAACTTACCCATAGAAATTGCACTGTTGCCGTAGCAAAACCAATTAATTCAAAATAAAGTTTATTACAGTAATTGTTCAAAATGCCGTCCATTATTATTTACACACACTTGCAATCGTCTTTCCAAAGAACTTTGAACATTAGAAATTAGTCTTGGATTTTGTCGTAGTTCCTCGGCTACCGCATTAACTTTATTGGTTAATTGTTTAACACTATTAATAGGTTCATTATAAACCAGTTGTTTCATGTGACCCCACAAAAAGAAATCGCATGGATTTAAGTCCGGAGATCTCGGAGGCCACTTAGTAGGTCCATTTCTGCCTATCCACTTTTGAGGAAATCTAATGTTCAAAAACTGCCGTACGTTTAAATCAAAGTGAGGAGGAGCGCCATCTAGTAGGTACCACATCCGTTGCCTTAATTGTAACGGTATCTCTTCTAGGAGTACTGGCAAAATATCTTCTAAAAAGTGGAGATATCCTGGCCCATTTAATCTGTTCGGGAGAACATAAGGCCCGATTAAATACTGATCTATTATGCCAGCCCAAACATTTATTGAAAATTTTCTTTGATGCCCAGTTTCCCTAATGGCGTGAGGATTTTCTCCAAATATGCGTATTGTGCATATTGAACACGCCATCACGAGTGAATGAAGCCTCGTCAGTATACAATAATATTTTTAGAAAATCAGGAATATCAACACATTTTTGAATCATCCATTCACAAAACTCCACTCTCTTTTCTTCATCACCTGGATATAAGGCCTGGACTTTTTGGATGTGATAAGGATGTAAACCTTGTTCTTTAAGTGTCCGCCACACAACAAATGAGGACACTCCAATTTCAAGACCTAGTCTTCTACAACTTAATTGAGGCCGGTTTTCAACAGCTTCCAATATTTCTTCTTCGGCCGCCAATGTTCTTTGTGTTCTTGTTCTCCCTCGATCTGCATTGACACTCTCAAATTTTCCATGGTCTCTTAGATGCTGAACAGTTGAAATAAACGTACGACAGTCCGGAATTCTCAGATTTGGAAACCGTTCGCGATACAGGATTTGTGCTTGCCGAGAATTTTCTCCAGCTGCCCCATAAACCAGCACTATATCCGTTAGTTCAATATTCGTAAATAGTGGCATCGTAAAAAAATATTTAAAAGTAATCGTAACAACACTTTTTACCAACTTGGAAATGACGCGCTCGTGTTAGCCAGATTCGTAAATCAACTAAAATTTTAATAATCTATAGTTTCAAAAATGTATAGTTTAAAAACAATCATTTATCAAATATTCTAGTTTTTTGATAACGAGGGTAGTAAAAACCAGTCTTCGAAAATCTTGGCAACGGTTATTTCTTACAAGACTAGTTTTCTTATCATCTGACAAAAACTTGCATATTAATTACTGTTGATGTTTAAAATAGGTAAATAAACCTAATTTATATGGGTCATCCTCAACATATCAGTGAAGTACGTTTGTTTTAGAATTAATTTTCAAAAATTAATAACTCCCTTAATAAGGGGTATTTTTAAAAAATAATATTTTTCTACATTCAATGGGGATCTGCGCAATACCCAGTTTTAATATGTACGTGTATTTCAATAACACCCTGTATACATAAAATTGGTCCTTTAATATGTATATATGAAAAAATTGGTCTTTCTAACCGTTTATATACAAAAAAACTTGTTCCTTCGAGCCAGATACACACAAAATTTGCCTTTTGAGCCGAATTATCAAAATAATTGATCCGTCAAACCAAATAAAAAACTGGCCCTTTGATCAAGCTGGATATACATAAAATTGGTCATTCGAGATGGATGCATAAATAATACTCAAAATAACACTCAAAAGTTGACGAAAATACATAAAATTTGTCCTTTTAGCTAGATGTACATGAAATTGGACCTTTGATACGTATATACAAAAAATTGGCTCGACGAGGCGTACATTAAAACAGTAGTTGGTTCAACAAGAGTGGATATGATGGCCATATCGCACGAAGACGAAATTTGAGCACGACGCCAAATTATGGCTACCGAGCGAGTAACAAAGACGTAGATTATCTTTGCCGATATATAACACCACACATTTGTTTATATTTAACGGGAGAAACCAGTCCAAACACCAATCACTTATTGAATTTAAGTCAGCATGAATATTATTGTAGTCTACTAAGAGGTTTCCGTAAAATTTTGTGTCATCTGCATAAAATGCTCTTTGAAACTGGATATGGTAAGGTAGATCACTCGGAATAAGTTATAAAAAGAAGCGGACCCAGTATTGAGTCTTGGGGGACACCACTTGTCACTAATCTATCTGATGAGTATGACTGACCAACTTTGACTCGACAGCTCCTATTTCCTAGATAATTGTGAATCCATAACAATAATTTTCCTCGAATAACAAATGACTAGTTTTTGCTGCAATCTGACGAAAGGGTCAAAAGCCTTTGCAAAGTCGAGATAAATTACATCAGTTGGTTATTTGCATTCGAGTGAGCGAGACCAATCGTTAATTCAGTATTAAAGATTTATCCAGGGTTTTAACGGCTTTCTGCGGTACTTCTTGGTAAAAGAATGTTTATTAATTATTGGTGTAAAGAAAAGTGTTCCACATATCATTTACATTGTTAAACTCTTTTAAAATATCATCGAAATTGATAACTTCTTCTAAGTTCATTTTGACATCGTTGTAGTTAATCACTCTGTATAAATCGTGCGTCTTACTGTTAACACTTTCATATGAACTTGGATCTCGGCTATAATAGGTCTTTTCCTTTGCATTGAAAGTGTAGCACTGAGCTACACCACTTCTGAAAATATCGTTTCATTTATACAAATTATAGTGCTACACTTTCGATGGAAAGGAAAAGACCTTATTACTGAATGGTCAGAAATGCCTATTGGGGAAAGATGTTGAGGTTCTGTTATAAGCTGTTCATCATTTGTGATGATACGATCTAGAATAGAGGGTTCGTTATTAACTCGAAACCTGGTTGGTTTATATTTTAATTGAAAGAAATTAGAGTCAGCAAAAAATTGCATAAAATTACTTGTTGAAGTGTCCGAGTCTGTCATCATTTTCACTAAATTTTATTTATATTTTAATGAAATAACCTTTTAGAAGTGCCATTTGGAAATAGCAGTTCAAAGAGGGACAAGAGTTGTAAGAAGTGCAGAACTGTTTAAAATGAAGATAACGAAGAGCCAAGCAGAGAAGAAAGAACAACAATATTTGTTGAACCCGACTCAAAGGAGAATCTTTCATGGAGAGGGGCGTATGTTGGACAGACTTTTCCATAACAATACATAAAATTGTTGTTTGGGCATAAAATTGGTCCTTTCACTGTGATATACAATGAGATATAATACAAATTATCCATTTTGTACTGATAGATTAGAAAAAATCTTAGTGTCACCTGCAAAGTGGCTTACATTGAGATAAGTCGGACATACAATATCCACATGCAGCTCATTTTTTATGCATTACATTTTCAAAAATCAGATAGGTAGGAAACAAAAACACCAAGTGAATAAAATAAAATTTATTTAGGTAGGTTATGTAGGTCATACTTAAAACATCATAGTAATAAAATATTAAAAACTCCTTTACCTATCAACATTTAATGAATCTAGCTTTAAACTTTGCCATCAAAATTCATGAAAACCTGACAGGTATGTATAAATGTAAATAAAACAATAAAGTCACTTTACAACGATTCCAAACATTGGCAGCTCTGTTGACAAAGTTTTTTAAACATCAACAGCGTACTGATCTGGCACGCTTTAGTCAAATTGTGACTGAGATCGAACGGATCTTGAATACAAAACGGAGACATGAACCGAAACTGCTCCGGTTCTGCGCCGTTCAATTGCTTGACATACGACTCCATTTCGGGAGGCAAAAATTTCGGTTCTGCGAATAATTTACGTTTGATGGTGCGGCCCAACAAGGGACAAACGGTCTGAAAATATAAAAACATGTCAAAGCGCACCCTTTATAAAATTTTAAATTGACTAACTTGGAAGAAAACTAGCACAACCCAAAAATGTTTGACGTTAGTTTTGAAATCTAAACTGACAAAACTGTCACAATACGAATAGAACCAAGTTTTTATTCATTTGAGCATAACCGTCACATTTAGTTTTACAACAGTTTTTTCTAAAAAGAAATATTATTTTTAGATGTGACAGTATTGTTTAGAAAAATTTTTAATAACTATAAATTTTTTTACCATTCTGAATTATTTATTTATCTTGGTTTGGGATAAAACCTAAAATGGATGTTTATTTTCAACAGTTCCACAAGTCCAAGCCCTTAAGGGTTGATTGTATATTTATAAAAAAATAACATGTGCTAAAGTTAACTGTGAATATCTACTTTAAATAGGTTAACTGTAAGTTATTTCTTAGAGCAGAAATTTGGAATTTATAGAAACTTTTGAAACATCTTATTTCTAAATTTGTACATTTTGAGTTGTGCCAGTTTTCTTCCAAGGTGGCGAATTGATGGTTACGAAACCCACTACTTACATCTTCTACATCGTTAAAATGTTCGTAATATGCAAAAAAGTCCTTTAAAAGTCTAGGAAGAGTATGCTCATATGGAATAACATGGTTTTTCATTAACTGCTGCGCATCCTTTGTAATGTTTACAGTTTCCCAACCGTCTATAACAGGAGCAGGCGTGGGAGTCAACTCTCTTATTTTCTTTACAGACAACAAATAACCATTAATTTGCAGATAAAATATCGCTAGAATCGCAATAGCATACGTGGTTATATGTTCTGAAAGTTTATTACTTTCGGACCACTTCTTCAATACTAATATAAATTGTTGAGAAATTGGCTGCAGATCCAAACATAACCTTAAAAAACATGAAACTGTCAAAGTTGTAAATTCAAAAAAGTAGGCAATTGGCAAGGATTATATAGGTTAGCGAAAAGTCTGGCAACATGGTATTTTTTTTTTTTTTTTTTTTTTTTTTTTTTTTTGACACGAATGAATGTATAATTATGAAATTGCACGGTGGAGAATGGGATTGTGTCCTACATTATTTAGAGGACATGTCAAATTTATGTGACGTCAGAATTTAGCGTACCGTCGCAATCTCGCATTTTTTTAAATGGCAACATAAGTAAAGTAATATATCAGTGAAAAGCTTATTTTTTCCTCTTTTATAAACAAAAATAAACAAACCTCTTTGTAATATGCCCCATTGAAAATCAAAATTTACATGTTTCAGAAATTTTGCGACAAACCTTTAAGTTACAGAATTTGTTCCAGTTAAACTATTCACTCTGTATTACTTTTTTAAAGGACACGCCACATTGAAAGGTAACCATCTTACTGATTCAGGGCCAAGAAGGCTTATTACATTACGAGTGTGGAAAGTGTCATTTTTTACATAAGTAAGATGTATTGTCGCACGAAGGATAAGCTGAGTGTGATAATCACACGAGTGTGAAAAATTACTTTCACACAAATGATGTACAATATTTTTCCTACGACCACAAATTAAGATGATGAGACCATCCAGCATATCCTCTACGATTGCCCGACGTTCTCATTTTTTAATAGATTTGTGTTCAACGAGTATCGGTTAAAGTCGATATAGGAGAAGCACCTATTAGCGACGTCAACTACATTAAATCTATAGGCTGGCTCACGAGCTACGAGGTGCCTATCAATTTAGTAGGATGCCGTGCCAAGGAGTAACACACTCTCCATATGTTACAGATACAGATTAGGTTTCTAGTGATCAACTGTTTTAATGATTTTCCTATTATTTTATAACGATGGTAAAATTGAAAATTAAATGAAAACTCAGCTGGGTTCTATTTTAAAAATCTGATGTGTCCAACACATGACTTTCCTATCTAGGTATTACAGGCTTTTTCCGTTTATTGTGTACAACCTATTGCAGCATCTCTATAAATGTTTAGAGGATAAACTAAATATATACATTGTCCACATACATCTACCGCGAAACATTTTTCTATAGATATTCATTGAAAATGAAAATACTGAAAAATTTAAATTTAGCACTTTTCCTACAATTTTTCCATTACGGTCCATTTAAAAAAAATCATGTTTGAACAAATATTATAGAGATCGATATCGCAAACAACTTTTATTTCAACAATTTTCATAAAAATCAGAATTTTGCACATTTTGTCAAATTTCTAGAATACGGACCATTTCAGGAAATTTTTACATAAAGCAAAAATTATAGATAATAATATTAGAAGTAACTTTTATTGGAACAATTTTCTTTTCCAAACATAAATAACAGATATATTCCATAAAATATAAAAACGGCCTCCCATAAAGTACCCCCCCAGATGTTCCGACTTTGTCCAAAATCTAATCATTTCACGTCAGGCCGAAATAAAACTTAAGTTTAAAATTTATTGATTTTTTCTTTATCCGTTTTTGAGTTTTCTTCAAATTTCGAAATTTACACATTTTCTCAAATATCTCGAATACGGTCCATTTTAGAGAAATTATCTATGGGACAAAAATTATAGAGAATTATATTACAAACAACTTTTGTTTGAACAATTTTTATAAAAAAAAATATTTTTTTACATTTTGTCAAATTTCTCGAATACGGACCATTTTAGGAAAATTTTGTAAATAACAAAAATTATAGATAATAAAATAAGAAGTAACTTTTATTTAAAAAATTTTCTTCCCCAAACGTAAATAACAGAGATATTCCATAAAATATAAAAATGACCACCTATAAAGTACCCCCCCAGATGTTCCGACTCTGCCCAAAATCTAATCAGCTCATTAGACGCTAGTATAAAGCTTAAGTTTGAAATTTGGTGTTTTTCCGTGTATCGGTTCATGAGTTATGCGTTATACAGACACACACACACACACACACACAGACACACACAGACACACACACACACACACACACACACACACACACACACACACACACACACACAGACATCATCGCGAAAATAGTCAAAACGGATTCAGGGGACCTCAAAACGTAAAAATCCGTCGAAAACTCGAGGTCGAAAAAAATCATGATTCCTATACTTTCCTTATATCTGTATACAGATAGGAAAGTAAAAATGTATATCGTGCTCTAATATGCCAAAAGATAATTTTTTTTCAAGTCCAACAATATTGTACGTATATAGCAATGCATTTAAATGTATGCGAGGTTCTGTAACCGTTAGGTAATAGCGCATTTCATAAACATATTCGAGAAACTAGGCTATCCTGTTTATTATAGTATATAATCCTTGGGAAATGAGCCCGTTGGAGATACTTATTGAAGTGCGCATGCACGAATCTGTCACCTGTCATGTCATCTGTCCGTCTTTGTAAGGTTATTACGTATGACAGCTGTTGACAACGAAAGACATTGACAGGCATTATAGCGCCATCTAGTCGTCAATGACAGCTATTGGCAATCCTGTTCTCAGTTTAAAGGCCAAGATTGATAGTATATAATCCTTGGGAAATGGGCCCGTTGGGATACTTATTGAAGTGCGCATGCACGAATCTGCCACCTGTCATGTCATCTGTCCGTCTTTGTAAGGTTATTACGTATAACAGCTGTTGACAATGAAAGACATTGACAGGCGTTATAGCGCCATCTAGTCTTCAATGACAGCTATTGGCAATCCTGTTCTCAGTTTATGGGCCAAGATTGACTGGTAATAAATTCGTATAGGCTCAGTTCAAAAACGAGCCCATTACCTAATCAAGCAAGAACCTATAATAATTGACGATAAAAAAGTAGAAACTAGTTTTTAAAAACGAAAGTTTTAAAATAATTCGTTACCTTAAAAATTTAGTATTTTCTACACTCAGTCCGTGTTTGAAAGATAAGTCGCACTCCAACTGCGTCCCGATATGTTTCAATTTGACAATAGGCGTCCTAGCAGTCGGTACTTCGTGTATTTTTTCAAATTCTCCCTTATGCTTTCTCAATAATCCCGCTACTTGCTTCACAATTTGACATTGCGATACGGAGTCTTGCTTTTTTCTACCCAAATACATATCTCCCGTGTCTAGGAATAAATCTAAGTCACTTTCCTAAAACAAAACAAATCTTAATATGAGTAATATCAATTGTTAACAGTCAAGTATCTATCAGTGTCACTACATACTCGATTTCCTAATCCAGATACTCTGGATCCAAAAGGATGAGCCTTACAGTCTTCCAGACTTGTCTTTAGCACCGCTTCTAGCCTTGAACAACATTCCATCGTTCTTTGCATGCAAGTTACGGTGTTGTTGGCTTCTTCCACCAAAAATGTTGCATACGTTTCTAATCTCTCTCGAGATTTAAAGATATCTTTAACTAGTTCGGAAAGCTTTGGTTCTAAAAAAAGATAACATTTGGTTGTGGAAGGTTTCAAAATAAAGTCAGTTTTAATATTCGCAAAGTAAAAAAGAGATAATGGGTCATATGATTGAACGTTTACGTTATCCGGCAGAGTTTTAACAGAAACGAGGCAAATTCGTATGATGGAAAACTGTTAAATTAGAACAAAACAGGCAGAAAATAACACTAATGTGTTGGAAAAAGTTTTCCATCATACGAACGTGCCTCGTTACTGTTAAAACTCAGCCTAACATGTACGTTACGAATAACGTAAACGTTCAATTATAGGACCCATTATAGTGTAGTGCCAGTTAATCGGAATTATGCTTTATGTGGGGGACTAAGTGTCACAAGCTGAATTATTAGTGAATTGAAAACTAATATTTTGGAGATTCTAAAACCGGAGGTAATCCAAAATTAGACCTTGCAGAAGGGTACTATTTTCAAAAAACGAGATATTGGTACCATTGCATAGAGCATAACGTGTACTACAATATGGCCGCAAAATCCAAAAAGTCACTTTACAAGTTAGGTAAATGTATTATTTTAAACATTTAAAAAACCAGTGGGGCTTACGGTCCAAAAAAATTTTAAATGCGATTTCCTCGGTTTTATCTTAAGGTGATTACAGCACTTCCTTATAATTTTCGGACAAGGATATCTCAAAAAGTAATTTTTTTAAAAAACTAAAATTTTGGCAAAATATATTAGGCAGTAATATCTAAAATATGCATATATTTTAAAATTTTAATTCCTTCCAGTTTCCAAGAAAAAAAATCAAAGGGCTTTAAATTTTAAAATATAATGAAAATAAATGCATTCCTCAACAGCACTATTCTTAATATAATCCCCAAATTTAAGCTCTTAATTACTTGTAAATGATTTTTTAAAATTCGCCGAAATTAGTGGCTAAAACGCCTTGTTAAGTGCTATTTTCTGGTTTAAACTGGTGTAAACTGGTGTAAATCGTTGCAAGAAACGAATGATGACTCAGAGTGTACAATACGATAGTTACAGATGCGTTACACTAGAAAAAAGTACTTAACGAGGCGTTTTAGCCACTAATTTCGGCGAATTTTAAAAAATCATTAACAAGAGATTAAGAGCTTAAATTTGGGGATTATATTAGGAATAGTGCTGTTGAGGAATGCATTTATTTTCATTATGATATTTCAAAATTTAACGCCCTTTGATTTTTTTTCTCGGAAACTGAAAAGAATTAAAATTTTAAAAAATATGCATGTTGTAGATATTATTGCCTAATCTATTTTGCCCAAATTTAAATTTTCTAAAAAAATTACTTTTTGAGATATCCTTGTGCCAAAATTATAAGGGGGTGCTGTAATCATCTTAAGAAAAAAATTGCGAAAAATATTGTACTTTTTATGTTAATACTACGAAATTAGCTAAACAAGATTTTAAAACAAAAAAAGTTACTCTTTATAAAAGTTTCTAAAATGTGTTTAGATCATAACAAAACATCAACCATATTTTTATGTCTTATAATAATCAACTTATGTTAATTAATATAAAACAAAACAATTAAAACGGCTGCCGCGAGATTTCTACACTCTGCTAACGGTGTTATCGCTTTGTATATTCCAACTTCGTTGCACCTATGATTGTAAACATATATTTATCTCTATCAACGGGCAAACAATCTTAATTTTGTTTGTTGATAAACTATTGTATTTCTGATACTGTTTAATACAGATGTCCCAAATTGTACGGATCCAAATGAAAGTTTATAGATTTCATAATTGTAAGTAAAAAAGTTCATATTAACACGTAACACGCAAACATTGATCAAAATTCGATCAAAAGTCAAGAGATGTAAAAGTTAGATAACTAATTAAAAAACCAAGAAAATATTTCACAAGTGGCGTGCAGGTGAAAATGTATCATTCCTATCAGTTCTAAAACACCAGTTGCTATTAATTGAAATCGGACCATTGTTAATATGAACGAACCATTTTGCTTAAAATTATCTCCGTTTTATATCATTTGGGACACCTTGTATAATGTAATACTTAATAAATATTGAAAAAAAATATTGTCATGAGTAAAATTAGAATGGAAAAATATCTAACACTGAAAGAGCGCTCCCTCAACTTTAATAATTATATTTCTTTAAGAGCATGGATATTCATATTTTTTTGGAAAAACTACAACTTACAATCTTGTGTAATAATCGTATTATATTTTCTCCTCATCTGCCGACGCTTCGCTGAACTCTTCAAAATCTACCGATTTTTGGTCGACCTTTTATTTATTTTTGGAATCTTCACTTGAATTTTGATTTAAGGAATATTCTGATATATTTTCGAAAATTGTATTTCAAATCAAATATAAAGCACAACATATTGACATTGTTTTTAATCATTACCCAGAAAATTCGATTAAAGATGTTGTTACTCGTCAAAAAAAGAGGATCTTTCAAATCAATTAATAGGATTATTACTAATTGAGAGATCTCGTTTCCACAACAATGGAATTTATTTATTCACTGAATATTTAATAAACAGTTAACCAATATTTTATCAAACGAATTTCCTGATTACTGATTCCATGATTATAATATACAATTTGTAACGAGTGGTGGATTTAATAACATTCCAGACTTTAAATTCAATATTGATATTTGAAAAGAAAATCGATAACTATTAGAATCAAACCATGAAGAAGCTGACACTAGAATTCTACTTCATGTACTCTGTGCTAAAACGGAAGGTTTTTCTATATGCGTTATTAACTTTAACAATACCGATGTGCCTATTATTTTGGTGTATTTTAAAAACCTTCCTAGTGAAATTTAGTTAAAAGACTGAATCATAAATTTTACTGGTTACGTGGCAGTTCATGAAATAGCCCTTAACGACAGTCTAACGAACAACCTACCTTCTTTCCATACTTTAACAGGATGCGATACAAAGAGTCAATTTACTGGAATGGTAAAAAAGATCCATTCCGAAGATCTGCTTAATATTATTAAAAAATTTGTAATAAAATTATATTCCTTGTTGTTCTTTCTCTTAATGTATTAAGAGGTTTAATGGCATCTTCAATAGAGCTATCTAGGCTACCTCCAACTAGTGTCGGATTGGGTCCTCAGCCGTCGGTCTTCCAGTCATAAGACTGGTGGGCCTTCATTCAAGCAGTGGGCTTATGAGAAGAAAAGAAAATCCCGTAAAACGTGGCAGCCACGGAAAAAGCATCAGTGTACAAAGAAGACCTTTTTCACTCTTCAATTAACCTTACCATGAAAACAAATGTATAGGTGGGCCCTTCTCCCTCCTGAACAGGTAGGGCCTATGGGTCCCAATCCGACATTGCCTTCAACAGACGATTCCTTAGGCTTTTTACCAAACCAAGATTTGGTTAAATTCTTAACCAAAGCCAGGTTTTGAAGAGGACAGCTAGAATCACAAGATGAGGAGAATATTTAATACTATTTTTAAACAAGATTCTAAGTTGTGGTATTTCTAATAAAAAAATATAATTATCCATGCTCTTTAAAGAGATATTATTAAAGTTGAGGAAGGGCTCTTTCAGTGTCAGATATTTTTCCCTTTTAATTTTACTCCTGGAGCATTTATTTTTTTTGTTTTTTCAATTTTTAGTATGTATTATTACTAATAATAAATTTATTCGAAACCCCTATTTCAGAGGTCTTGTATACAGGGTATCCCCAATTATATAAAACGGAGACAGGTTAAACGTCTCATAATTTTGGGCAAAAAAGTTTATATTAACAATGGTCCAATTTCCATAATTAGCAAAGTTACTGGTGGTTTAAAATTGATAGAAATTATACATTTTCAGTTGCACGCCACTTATGATATTTGATATTTTCTTGATTTTTTAATTAGTTATCTAACTTTTACATCTCTTGACTTTTGACCGAATTTTGATCAATGTTTGCGTGTTACGTATTAATATGAACTTTTTTACATACAATTATGAAATCTATATACTTTCATTTGGATCCGTTCAATTTGGGACATCTGTATTAAACATTATCAGAACTACAATAGTTTATCAACAAAAAAAATTAAGATTGTTTGCCCGTTGTGGGGATAATATTATGGTTTCGTAGTGCGATAGAGATAGATATATGTTTACAATCATAGGTGCAACGAAGTTGGTATATACAAAGCGATAACACCTTAGCAGAGTGTAGAAATCTCGCGGCAGCCGTTTTAATTGTTTTGTTTTATATTAATTAACATAAGTTGATTATTATAAGACATAAAAATATGGTTGATGTTTTGTTATGATCTAAACACATTTTAGAAACTTTTATAAAGAGTAACTTTTTTGTTTTAAAATCTTGTTTAGCTAATTTCGTAGTGTTAACATAAAAAGTAAAATATTTTTCGCAATTTTTTCTTAAGATAAAACCGAGGAAATCGCATTTTAAATTTTTTTGCGCCGTAAGCCCCAATGGTTTTTTAAATGTTCAAAATAATACATTTACCTAACTTGTAAAGTGACTTTTTGGATTTTGCGGTCATATTGTAGTACACATTATGCTCTATGCAATGGTACCAATATCTCGTTTTTTGAAAATAGTGCCCTTCTACAAGGTCTAATTTTGGATTACCTCCGGTTTTAGAATCTCCAAAATATTAGTTTTCAATTCACTAACAATTCAGCTTGTGACACTTAATCCCCTACAGAATTCATTTCTAGAGCAGTTTTGTTACAAATAGCACCATACTATTATTGTTTACTAACCATTTTTTCTTTCTCTTCTAGAATTCTTGTTTCTGTGTCGAGTCAATGACACTTCATCTCCATATATTATCGTATTACAAGTTGTGCATTCAAACTCCCTCAATTTGTTAGCGCGGATTTTTGATATTTTGGAATGTCTAAAAATGTTATATTATCAGCATAAAGAACCATTTTAGTATCAAGCAAGATCTTAAAGATAGTTAGGAAAAAATATAAATAGAATAGTCCCCGATCCGAGCCTTGAGAAACACCATAATTCATTGGCCCTCAAGAACATGCTCCCTCTTATTAAATCACACAAGTTGGAAAACTATTGTATCAAATGAAGGATTGAATTGTTTAGAACTATTACACTAAGAAAATATAAAGCAAATATTTTACTTTCATCTATATAAAAAATATTCTGGAGTATTAGTAGAAGAAAAACACTGTTTCGATACGCCAGAACCTGATATTAAACCGGCACGAACAGACATATTTTTATAAGTTCAATTTATACAATTTTTGTACCTGTTTGGCCCTCCAGTAAAATGCTTCTCCCAGTTAATATCATCGGTAAACCTCGTGTTGCATATTTCACAAAAAAAAGTAAACTTTGGTAATTTCACATCAGCCCATTGGGAATGAGGTACATTCAGTATATGTTTCATCAAGCATTTAGTGTTGACACCTATATTCATGTTGCACAGAGTACAAACTATGAACGATGTATAATTTTCGAAATATTTTGAATGAGGATGCAATCTATGTGGTAACAGATCTTTCACGATGTCTTTACCGGAAATTGTTAGAGACGGAATGATAATGTGCTCAATTTCGGGCTCATCTACAACAGAAATCAAATATAAATTTACAAAAAACTGGTTTACAGTGCGACAGATATAGCTGAAGTCACCAAGTTTATATCGTCGTCATTCTCACAAAGGGACCTAACTGACATTTGATTAATTTTATTTTATTTATTTAAGGAAAATCTCCATTTACAAAATAATTATTATCAGTAGATATTTTAAACCTAACCTAAAGTATCACACAAAAAAGAAAAAAAAACTTACATCTTAAATATAAAAAAAAAAAAAAACCTAGAAAAAAACTTAGAGCTAAAGTTAACTCGATAAGTACTCCCTCAGCTGATTTTTAAACCTAAACCGACTAACTCCCAAAATATCAGTGTGTCTGTTAATTTCATTTCCTTGCCTTTGAAAACTGTTTAAAGGACTGTTGAGTCCGTAGTTCGTATGATGGAAGCTAATTGAAAATAATGGTTTCTCTCTAATATTTATGTTGTTTAATCTAAACATATCCGGACAAGCTATATTCTCTTCCAGGAGGACAATAAGTTTAAATGGTTATTAAGCTCCCTCTTAGAAAGATAAGGCATATGTAACCTCCACTGACAAGTTCTTAGAAACCTATTTTGAACTGCTTCTAAATTTAAAATATGAGTCCAGTAATGAGGTGACCAGACTGGCGAAGCATATGAGGATGCTGCGCACTAGTGTTAAGTAAAGGATTCGGAATGTAGGCACAGATAATTCCCTAGAGTTCCTGGTCACAAATCCCAATGTTTTCAGAGCTCTACTAATGATGGATCTCATGTGTGGGACAAATGTCAAAGAACTATCGAAGATCACACCTAGATCCTTGATTTCACTAACTTTCTCCAAAACAGTAGTATTGATATTATAAAGAAAATTTATAGGGTTTTTTTGATCTTGTGAAGGTGATTGAAAAACATTTACGTGGATTTAAAGACATGGCATTATTTAAAGCCCAATTAATAAAATAGTTTAAATCATCCTGTAACTTCAAACAGTCAGGTAAGTTTAATATTTCCATGAATAATTTCAGGTCATCGGCGAATAGTAGGAACTTACAATATTTAAATCCTGAAGCCACATCGTTAATAAATATATTAAATAGTAATGGTCCCAAATGAGATCCCTGGGGGACACCTGAACTTACATTTATTGGGATCGAAGTAAAACTTTTAACTTGACATATTGAACCCTGGATTGAAGGTAACTTTCTAACCATTTCACTAAGTAGTTTGGAAAGCCGAATTTCACTAGTTTCCTTAAAAGCAAATCACTGTTCACCTTCAAGAAGTCAGTGTAAATTGAGTCAACCTGACTCTCTCGAAGGCAGAAATGATATAATGTTCGTAGAGCAGTAAATAGTAAATTTGTATTAGTAGACTTACCTCCCATAAACCCATGCTGTTGTTCAATCAAAATTGTTTTTGCAATGCCATGACAAAGGTTTATATACCAATAATTCTAATAATTTAGGTATTGCAGAAAGTAAAACTGCAGGGCGATAGTTAACTATGTCATCTTTCTGACCATTTTTAAATATGGGGATAATGAAACTATCACGTCATTTTGCAGGAAATTGTTGTAATTTCAAAGAGGAATTAAATAAAAACTGTACTGGTTTGGAAAGAGTGAATTTACATTTTTTCAAAAAGTAAGCAGGGATTCCATCTGGACCATAACTCAATTTATCTTTTAGGGAGTTAATACCATCATAAACATCACTTAAGGAAAACTGTATAAAGGGAATATCAGGATGGTTAAAAGCATTATAATGAAGGTTTTGCTCATCTACAATATCATTCTTATAAACACTGGAGAAATGCGTAGCAAACAAATTACTGATGTCTTCCCCATTATCAGCAATTGTACTATTATAATACATTCTATTGGGAATACCATGGTGTTGTTTCAAAGAATTAATGTGGTTCCAGAAGTATTTTGTATTTTCACAAACCTTCAGATCTATACCAGAAATATAATTTTCATAATTTAGTTTTGATAAATTTTTACATTGAGACCGAAGGTTAGAAAAATTTAAGTAATCAACAGCTGAGCGAGTACTTTTGAATACAGCATGAGCTGCCTTCTTGCGAGAAATCAACTTTTTAAGTTCAGCTGAAAACCATCTATAGGGTATACTAGTAAGTAAGTAAATTCTTTATTTAGCTTTCAGCTAGTTATAAAGAAATATTTACAATTAAAACTTAAAACTATAGGTTACCTAAACCTAGATAATTACTAATCATATTTCTAAAACTACCTAGAGTTGGGGCATCTTTTATATTTTTAGGCAACGCATTAAAAAGACGAATCCCTTCCTGCAATAATGAGCCCATCAAAAAAGATTTTTTTGTGAAATCAATAATAAAATTGTCCATTGATCTGAGTGGACGTAAATGAAGTTCAGATCTTTTTAGAAATAGTGTACTAAGGTATTTCGGAGTTTTGTGATGTATCATCTTATTTATTAGTATTAAATTCGACATTTTAATGCTTTGCTCAACTGTATAGACATTCAGCTGTTCATGCATTTCCCTGACCGAAGTGTAAATATTACAATTTAATATTATCCTTAAACATTTATTTTGTAACAGTTGCAATCTGTTGATGTTTTCTTTAGTAGCTGATAATAGTAATTAATTACAATAATTAAAATGTGGGCGTATTATTGTATTATAAATCAGAGATTTTGACCATTGCGACAAGTTACATTAAATCCTTCTAAAAAAAAACAATTTTTTTACCTAATTTTTTACATAAGTAATTGGCATGATTATTAAAAGTTAATTGTTGGTCAATAATGACTCCTAAATATTTTATTTCCAGTACTTGTTCAATTGGTTCACCACCTATTTCTACTACTTGATCATGCGCATTAAGTTGTCTGCATTGTGCTTTTGATCCTAGGATCATATATTTTGTTTTTGCAGTATTTAATTTAAGCTTATTTACACACAGCCAGTCATACAAAATAGACAATTCTTCATTTAATATTTGAATTATTTCCTGAAAATCTCTACCAGATACTGAAATGAGCGTGTCGTCCGCGAAAAGGCTAATAAATGATCTTTTTAATCGTTTATGAATGTCATTTACATAAATAATAAATAAAAGTGGACCCAACACACTTCCTTGCGGTATCCCGTAGTGGCTTTCTGTTTCACTAGATATATTATTTCCTATTTTAGTCTTATGATGCCTATTAGACAAATACTCCCTAATTAAATTTAATGCTACCGAATTTACACCGTAATTTTGCAACTTTTTTAATAAAAAATTTCTATTTATTGTTTCAAAAGCCCTTTTAAGGTCAATAAAAACACTAACAATAATATTATTTTCATTCATATAATTTCTCCATTTCGCACAAACAAATTGGAGAGCTGTTTCACAAGAATGTTGGTCTCTAAACCCTGACTGTCCCTCATACAAAATATTATTGTCTTCAAAATAAGACTTGAGCTGATCTCTTACTACAATTTCAATGATCTTATCTGCAGATGGTAATACATTTATAGGCCTACAATCTTCTGGTCTTGTTGGACATGATATTTTGGCTATTGGCACAATTACACTAACTTTTAAATCACTGGGAAACGTACCCTTTACAAGGACCGTATTTACCAGATTAAGAAGAGGGTACCCGATAACACAAAATAACCCCTTCAATAGTGCAATACTTAAACATGCGTCACCTGAACTTTTATTTTTAAGATTGTTCACTATTTTTGTTAATTGATTAAAACTTATTATTTTTAAAGCACCAAACTCAGTGTTGATATTGACGTCCTCCATGGGTGAAATCCTCTTATCTCCAATGCTGTTTGCGATTTCCTGGATACTGTTTTTGTAAAAATTATTAAAGTTCTCTTCCACAGTACTATTATGTTCACTAAAAATAATTTTTTCAACATCTAACTTTTTTATTTTATTTTGACCTAGCAATTGTTTTATAGTTCTCCACATTTCTTTTCCATCATTTTTAGATTTATCTATTTTGTCCTCAAAATATGTCTTCTTCTCTTGTCTGACTATGGTCGTTACCTTATTTCTTTTAGTTTTATATAATTTCCAATCTTCTTCAATTTTTATTATGGTAAATTTTCTATATGCTTCATCACGAACTTTTTGTGCTTGTTTTATTTTATTATTTACCCATGGTTTACTGTTACTCACCATTATTTCTAATGGGGCAATTTTTTCTATAGACTTTGTGGTATTATTGATAAAGTTCCTGTATAAAACATCGGTATCTGTTTTTTCCTTATTTATTTTACGTACACAAGTCATTTCCTTTTTCCGATCTATACACCATCCCTTTAATTCTACACCTATCATTTCATGATCTGACATTACTGGAAATTCTCGTGGAAGTTCAATTAGCGAGAAATTATTTGTTATTATCCAATCAATCAAGGAAGACGAAGTTTTTGATATTCTTGTTGGTTTTTTGACAATTTGTTTAAATCCCGAATCCTGTATATTATTTTTGAACTTGTTGACTATACCCACATCAGATCTAAACGCCATGTTGAAGTCTCCAAATATAATCGTATCATTAGTATTTACGAGATCTCTCTGTAGTAAGTCATCAAAAAACAGCCAAAAATCATTACAATTGCCATGTGGGGATCGATAAACAGTTCCAATTATAGCTGACTTATTACCTTGTTGTATTTTAAGTAATAGTACCCAATAGTTTAAAGAGACCGACACTTTTTGTATAACTGAATAGTTTACGTTTTCCCTTAAATAAATTATACAACCTCCAGTATGTCTGCTATCTGAATTCACTCCTTTACAGTGGTACTCTGCAATTTGAATCTCGCTGTCCTCTATATCTGCAGTAATATGTGTTTCTGTTACGTTTACTAATAAAGGTTTATTTTCAGTTAGATATTCTCGAAGTTCATCAATATGTGACGTTAATCCCTCAATGTAAATACATATTGCTTTGTATTTGGTATCTTCTTTTAGTTTCTGGGATGGCTATATATATTTTATTTTG